GATTAAAGTATACATTAAAGTATACATCTAGTTATAATAGTATTCATGGCGTACAATCATATTTCAATACTACAAAAATGCATAACTTATTTCTACTTTTCCCTTTTTCTTGTTAAAAAAAATAAGAAAAATTTGAAGACAAAAATCAAGTAAATCCTTAGAAGTATTTTTTTTTAGAAAAAAAGGGTAACGTAAATACTTCCTTATTCACTGTAATACACAAATGCATACACTCCCCCTCCCTCCCTCCCTGCCTCCCTCCCTCTCTCTCTCTATGTATACATAGAGAGAGAGAGGGAGGGAGAGATTGACAGAAGGCATGGATACTATAAGAAAGGGGGGGCGGGGTCCCATATAGGAATGCATATTGAAAGTCTATATATATATATATATATATATATATATATATATATATGTTGACAATACTTATCGTATATTATTTCCTTCATGAGTTGTCATAGTAGTAGTTTATGTAAAATAAACAAAAAGTAACATTTATCTTTATAAATTAATTCCTTTCTTAGTAATACCCTTTATTAAGAAAGAAATCAAACCAGTATAGTAACTTCTTCCGGTTTTCCATATACATAGATAGATATGGATAGGAAGAAACAACACGACTTGATTTCAAGTTTCCTGTCAAGAAAATAATTTCAGTGATGTTTTCTGTTAATATACTCTGTTGTTATTATCACTCTTGTTAATTGTTACATTTCAATGGCTTTCTATTTTGCTTTACGTACGTACGTACACAAACACACACACGCACACATACACACCTATACACTTGAATACACTTCGTTCATTTGTAGGTACTTGCTTCTTATTGATTATTGTGATACTAGTTTTCTATATATTGTAACATTATGTATGTAATCCGTTTCACAAGTTGAACTCACGAGTTGATCAGAGATAGACCACCATTGAAAACCTAGAAGCACTAGACGAACATTTCTTGCTGGTATAGGATTCCTTAGCGATGTGAGAACATTTAACTGAAAGTCTTGGGTTAGAGTCCTACTTGGGGGACCATGGATGCTCACTACTGAAGTGTCCTATCGTAGGACGAGACGGTCGTTCAGTGCTTCCAGGTTTACAATGTTGGCCTAGCTTTGATCGACTCATGAATTCAACTGTGAAAATACCACAATACCACAATCCCATCTTCAACAAGTGGTCTGGTTTTTATTTTATGTATGTAATGACTGTCTACCATACGGATCAGCTTCAGTTAGACAACTATGAGAAGCATTTTAAAATCCTTGTAAGGAGGTATGATCAGTGTAGTTAATCTATGTCAAACGTTGGATATGTATTACTTATGGGAATAGACAATAATTGTGGAATATCTTAAGATTATCGTTAGATTTAGATTTCAACTTGGACGATCTAAATTCAATGTGAACACTGTAATAACTGTTTGTCCTTAATCTTCTCTTTAGAGAGAACGTGTATGAAAACTATTTAAGGGTCCACTCAGTTGTTTACTTGAATCTTCCCATTGATGTTTAGGACTGTAATTGATCAGTCTCTCTCTTATTAATATATGTGAATACTATGCGTATTGCCTTGATATTGCCTTAATTCACAAGCATTATAAGAAAAGATGAACAATGGCTAAGAATGGAATCCAGGACGCGCGTTTCAAGATTTAACTAAACAATACCAAGTGAATTTAAACTTCATCGCCCTTGCATAAGCAAGTGGACTCAGTAACTAATTGAATAATGCAATGGCGTTTGAAATGAACGGTATTGGTTTCGAGTCTCGAAGTGAACTTCAACTCTGAGGTACAGGTATATCCAGCTGACGAGTCCCAAATGGAACAAAACTGGCGTCCTGGATTCCATTGCTAACCACTATTCATTTCTGTCAATCAAAGTCTTATAACATTTTTTAACTATTTAACTAACTTTCATTAATTTATCTTAAACAAATGATACCTACTCATTCTTGATCCAATTTACGAAAGTTTGTATATATATATGCATAGACTAGGACATTAGAAAACTCAATCATCCGTAGTTTTGCATCTTTTACTTTCAAGTGGGAATCATCTTACTAGTTTAGTTTTGTTGTTGTAGGAGATGTTTAAGAGTATTTAAGAGTATATGGATAGTTCATCATGAGTAGTGTACAACTGACAGAAATGATGATTGAAGCTACTACATATAAAGCATCTATTTTGTTTTCTATATAAAGAATACAATTTACTTAATCAATTAGTTAAATTAATTTCTTATTATTAGGAAAAAAAAGTGAGATAAATAGAAGAGGAGAAAAAAACCCCTAGTAACAAGGAAAGTAGGAGGGAAGGAAAGAAAGGGGGAATGGGAAAGTAATTCGAGTTGAGGAAACAACAAAACACATTATTCGATTATTTAGTTTTTGTAAGCTTTTCAACTTACATTATACTAAATAATAAATTACTTACCTACCTTACTATCTTACTATTCTATTCTTAGGTTTATTATTATTATGATAGATTCATTAGTCGATTATTTCAGAGGTATATATTTTACTCATATAAATGAGTCAATTGAATAACTGGTTAATTGAAGAAAGACGAAAAAATTATATCAGTTGAACACGACATTAGCAATTTGGGTCTAATAGTTCAGTGGCATCGAGAGCGAAGAGGTGCTCGCTTCTAGTCTTAAGGTGACCACATTCATCTGGCCTTCAAATGCCCTGGTACGGCTGAGAGTGGGGAGAGTCCACTCTCGCTCTCCAAATGATCTCACATGGCAACGTATATATAGCCCTTGCCAGGGAAGTCCTACTTACTGCCTTCTCGTGGCATTACTGGTGTTTACGAAATTAAGATGACAAAAAGCGAACGTCCCTCGCTTTAACCGCTTCAGTTGACACGGAAAGTTCACCTAGGAGAGTTGGGGAACCCTGATTACAAACCAATGGTGCACATGGGCTGGCTCCAGTATCCTAAGGGAAAAAGTGACGTATGAATCAATCGTTGGTCACCGGCCACCATGTGACTGTATCTGCTCACAATGCTCCACTACCTTATAGATCAGACCTTTAGGTCAAAGGCTCCATGTGTAACCTCCTAAGAAAAAAACATTTACTTCGGTTTGGGCACCCGGGTAGTATCACAGCCCTCACATAAATAAAATGAGACTTGTTTGGCACATATATATCTGGTTCCCCTTTGTACCAATATTTATCTGTTCAAATAAATAAATAAACTCAGCCTATAATGTGTGAGGAAAGAAAAATGAGGTCAAGTTTCAATTATAGCTCCGATCGATCTAAGATAGACTACTATTAAAAACCAAACGGCCGTTTCATCCTCAGCAGTGAGCATCCATGATTCCACATGCGAACGCTTAACATCTTTAAGATTCTGGATTCGAGTCACTCATGAAAGATCGTGTATGTGCATTGCTCAAGAATCGTTTACGAAAACGAAACAGTCATCCAGTAATTCCTGGTTTTCAATGGTGATCTAGCTTAGGTGGACTGATGAATTCAACTATTAAAATTTCTAGTCTCCACAAACTCACATTCTGATAGTATACAGTTCTGATTTTGGATATGAAAAGAATTAAATATACATCAAGGTTATCATGATTCACAGTAGTTTTGTAAATTATCTGAGTTAATAATTGCTCTAAATAATTTCATTTTCAAGTTTTACAATCAGTCATCATCAGTGTAGAGTTTGGTAAAACGTGAATTGTCTAAACTTACTATGTCATAACAGCAGTTATGGATGAAACAAACATGATAAATATCAAATGCGTAGAAATAAGTGTATTTTAAATAGTCGTGATAAAGACTGAACATGGAAGGTTACTTTTCGAAAAGAATGGATGATTTGGTGAATAAAATGTACAGAATATTGAACCTGAATACTTAAAGGAAGATGATAAGCACAGAACGATAGTGGTTAGCAGTGGATTTAAGCTTTAGCCAATTGCACAAAGCGAGTGGCTATCAGGACTCAGTAGCTAAGTGGATAATATGATGGCATTTGAAATGGACGGTACTGAGTTTGAGTCCGTGTGAACATCAACTCTGAAATGCAGGTAAATCCAACTGACGAGTCTTAAATAAAACCAAACGCTCATCCTGGATTCCAGTACTAGCCACTATTCATCTTTGCCTAAAATACTTGTGAATTAGGGTAATATCGAGGCAATACGCATAGCATGTACATATGCCAATAAGAGAGAGACTGATCAATTTCAGTTCTAAACATCAATGGAAAATTCAAGTAAACATTAGTAAGTTAATTTGGTGGAGTATAGTCAGTGAAAATATTTGAGCCACTGTGATCGGTTTTAAATCATTTCATCTAACATTCCCAACCACTGATCACATCGATACAGACCAGTTGGCTTTACATCAACCTCAGTGGGTAGCCCCAACAGTTATTGATTGTATAGATAGACAGTTTATCTGTTTTTGATAGTTCAGTGCTTTTAGGTTTTCCATGGTGGTCTAGCTTCAATTAATTTATGATCTCAACTATTAAAATTACATAAATATTAGTACAAGGAGGCATTATATATACCGAAACAGTTGGCTTTCTTAGAGAGCCATACTCCGGTACATTTATCTAGATGTTGTTTCGTAGTACTCGGTGACCAATAATTGATTCATACATCATTTGAATCTTCACAATCCTAGAGCCCATGTGTACCATCGACTTCGAATGAGGGTTTTCCGACTCTTTTAGGTGGATCCTGTATATTCATCAACCCAGTTAAATCACTGGATATTCGCTTGTTAACCTTTCAATTTCGTAAACAATACCCTAGTGACTAGAATGTAATGAGTAGGACTTCCCTTTCAATGACTGTATATGCACGTGGTCATATGAGTGCATTTCCAGACAGAGAGGAAGAGAGAAAGATCTAACTCTTTCCACACTTGAACATTCTAGATACAACTAGATAACATGGTCATTATACCTCCTTATAATATCTATAAAGTATCATCCTTATTTAACTTTTCTTTCTTTTCTATTTCCATAGGTAATTTACATTTATTAAATATGAACCCAATCCCTTATAGAAATCTTACTTATACATGTGTTATACATAATCTCATTCTACATACTATGAAAACTGGTCCTGATATAAAACTTTTATTTCATTCGAATGCCTTAGCAACAACAACAACAACACCACCACCAACATCAATTCAAACTATTAATGAATTACCAAAAAAAATTCAAGTTTTATATCATTCCCCTAGTAACCAAATTGTTTTATTGAATCAATCATTATCTCTAAAATGTATAATGTATGGATATCCTTTACCTAAAATACATTGGGAATTTATGACGGATTCTATGGATACAGATGGAAATGATCATCAATATAAAGATGTGAAATCGGTAAAGTTTTCTTTTGTTTTAAAACAATTTTAATTTTATCATTGAATTTTGTAAGTCAATCTTAATAGAGTTTTCTTTTGTGAGCTGAATGGTTTGGTCGTGGAGTTTTCATCGTCCTTCTGAACGACATCATCAATACAAACTTCGGGTAGAAGTGAAGTGTTTGAATATCTTTTCACATGTGATTCATAGCTTGTCCTGTGCACTTCGATGTTGAAGTTATATTTAAGGTCAACAAGAGACAACAAAAATCGAGGTGTACAGGACAAACTATGAAACTATTGGTTGCAATAATCATACGAACCACAACCGGATAATCCACATCTATTAACATATCCTACTTCAACTGTCAGTCGCTTCATTAACTGTTAATATTTTTCGATTTTGTTGCCCTTAACTTTTTTTCAATCTACTTCCACACCAGACAACATCGCCTGTCAAGATAGACGGTGGTTTGGGATACATAACACATCTCCAAATCATCTCATTTGATGAAAATGCACTACCTCATCAATCTGTTCTCTATCTTTACCCAGTACCTTATTTCTAACCCAGGCAGTGCTTACTCACGAGCAATGCTCTGAAGACACCCATGACTGAATACTAGTCACTTATGAACATCCTCTATTCTTAATGGTGATGTTTCGCGCATAAAAAAGTAGGATAGAGCGAACTGCTGCACAGTAAACTTGTCTTTTGGTTGTCAGACTTATATCTCGCCTACTACAAAGGTGAATCGAGTCAACAAAAGCCAGTCGAGCTTTGTGAATTAGTATGGAAATTTATTCAGACACCAGGGCATCAGGACTGATGAGACTCCTAAGATTAATGAAGCGACCGATATGCCCAACTACTACTCCACTCCCTCTGACAAGGGGATTCATGTAGGCTGTAGAATTTTTACACCACTGGATGCTGGCTTCGTGGTCTAGAGGTTATGTTTGAATGAAAGACTAAATATACTTAGTTTTACCCCTTGTAGCAGGCTCATGGATACGAACTTCTAAGGAGTTGTATACTAGGATGAAACAGCTGACCAATAGCTAATATGAAACTTTCACAATAATCTGAAAGTAACCTAATAAATTCAACTAATGTTTCTTTTCATCTGAGCTTTACATTATAAAATATTTAAATAATAAATTCACTTGATATTGTTTATTTGAATCTTCCCATTGACGTTTAGGACTGTAATTGATCAGTCTCTCTCTTATTGGTATATGCACATACTGTGCGTATTGCCTCGATATTGCCTTAATTCACAAACATTCTAAGCAAAGACGAATAATGGCTTAAAATGCAATCCAGGACGCGCGTTTCAAGATTCAAGTAAACAATACCAATTGAATTTAAACTTCACCCCATTGCACAAGCAAGTAGACTCAGTAGTGGATAACGCGATGGCGTTTGAAGTGAACGGTATTGGGCTCGAGTCTCGAAGTGAACTTCATCTCTGAGGTACAGGTATATCCAGCTGACGAGTCCCAAATGGAACAAAACTGGCGTCCTGGATTCCACAGTTAGTCATTACCCATCTTTGCTTATAATATTTAAATAATACTTTGATGGAGTTTCGTTCTCTGAGCTGGATGGTTTGGTCGTGGAGCTTTCATCGTCCTTCTGCATGACATCATCAACACAAACTTCGATTAGAAGTGAAGTGTTTGAACTTCTCCACATGTGGTTCATAGCTTATCCTGTACACCTCGATGTTGATTAATTCTTGTTGACCTTAATTCTGTCATTGTTTATTTCTTTATTTTGGTTGTATCTCCCGTTGGTTTGATTTTTGTTTCTATGTTTCTGCATAATTTTCCTGATTGGTTAATCAATTCTATTGATTTCTATCCGAAGTATGTGCTGATGGTGTCTTTCAGAAGGACGATGAAAGCTCCACGACCAAACCATCCAGTTCAGAGAACAAAACTCCATCGAAATTATCCACTTGAGCTAAAAATCTTCTCCACCATCTCGTAAGCTAATCTAAGTTAGAACATTATTCAAAACTTGGAAGCATTGAATGGTTGTTTCATCCCAGTTTGAGATTTCTTAATAGTGTACATCTATGATCTCACATTAAAAGGACTGCAACCCAAGAACTTCGATCTCACACCTACTGTGACCTATTTAAACATCTGGGCTACCTGTTCTTGTCATCAAGATATTTCAACAACTTATCTAATTTTGTTTGTTTTAATACATCATTATAATTATTAATCGCACAACCTACTTCAGGTGCATTTCTGAAAAGTGTTCAGCCTTTCTCTGTAAAGGTTGCAAAAGGCCTGACAATATGCTGAGGAAAGAAAGTACACCATTTAGATGTCGATTGACTGGACTGCTAACTTCTAACTGGCGACCACTCAATACTTGTCGTCAGGATCGACGAAAATGTAGGGAACGGAAACTTGATGAAATAGTTTGTGCTGAGAATTCTCTTTTGTACCGAAAATATAATATTGAATAAAGCTAATAATAATGGTGATAACATTTAACTTCTAGACCATTAAGCCGGCATCCTACAGTCTTAATATTCAACTTCAATTGATCCATGATCTTTCACGATACTTGATTTACCCGAAGTTTGCGCTGATAATGTCTTTCAGAAGGACAATGAAAGCTTCACGATCAAATCATCCAGCTCAGAGAACAAAACTCCATTAAAATCATTCACCTGAACTACAAATCTACTCCACCATCTCAAATAATACTTCCTCCTTTCTTCTTAGAAGAAAGATAAGAAAAACCGTTTTCTTTTCAGACAAATCGAAGAAACATTCATATACATTCTTACATCAAATCATAAACATTGAATATATAGTTACCATGGCAAATAATCAAACTTACATAATGGCAACTAATCATTCATTCTAAAAAAAAATTCCAAAAAAAAATCGTCAAATCATTCAATTAAGTATTACATAAGTGGTAATCATGTTGATTACACATTACTTCAATGAGTAAAGAGGAAGAAGAAGAAAGAAAAAATCTTCTATAAAGATGGTTCCAGACGTTTTTTGTTCTTTTTCTCCCTGGGTATAATTCGGGTATTCCTTCCTCCCTTCTTTTTTGGACGTAATCTTTTCTTTTCTTTTTTTTTAACTCCTCCTTAACTGATAGTTTTGTCTATTAACTAAGAAAGTTTATATTATGATGAATATAAATTAAATCATCTTTATGATTTATGAAAGAAAGAAAGAAAAAAAGAAGTTTGATTATGTTTTTCATTGAATTAATGAATTGTAGTTTACAAAAGGAAATTTAAAATAGGATGATGAATTTTGAATGGTTGAATTCATGAGTCGATGGAAGTGTAAAATACTATTGAAAACTTGGAAGCATTGGACAAGCGATTTGTTCTAGTATAGGACTCTTTGGTAGTGCGTATCTATGATAGTATACATGGGACTCGAAACAAAGATCTTAGATCTCACGCGTGAACACTTAACTTCTAGATCAGTGATCTGTCATATAACGGTGTTAATATCTAACTTACATTGATTCATGAATGGTTACGCAATCATTCATCCCTTGTCTGAGGTAGATACCTGCGTCTATTCGACACGTATTGAACTCCACTATTCACGACCTCTCAATATAGGCCAATAAGTGGCAGGTAGAGACAAGTGTCTACCTTAAACAATGGTGGATGGCGGCTCAATGATCTAGAGGATAGGAGTTCACGTGCGAGACCGAGGATCCTGGATTGGAATCCCACGTGCGTGATAGTGGACGTGCACTGTCGAGGAGTCCCATACTAGAACCAAACGGTCATCCAGTGGTTTTAGGTTTTCAATGGTTTCTAGCTTACATCGACTTATGAATTCAACTATTAAAATTACAACAATCTCCATAAACTACATTCTGATCACAATCGACTATGCAATTACTAAGAGTACTTACCGACTATAAATATATATTTCTGTTAGTAAAATCACCTCAATGATATTATTAGGCATTGTACTAACTTACTTACGTACGTACGCCTGTTACTCCCAATGAAGTATAGCCCACCGACCAGCATTCTCCAACCCACTCTGTCCTATAACTTCCTTTCTAGTTCTATCCAATTGTTGTTCATTCTTCTCATGTCTGTCTCCCTTTCTCAGTGTAATGTATTTTTTGCTCTTCCTCTCCTCCTTTGGTCTTCAAGATAGCATGTAAGGGCTTGTCTTGTGACGCAGTTGGGTGATTTCCTCAATGTGTGTCCTTTCCATTTCCAGCGCTTCTTCCTGATTTCTTCATCCACTGGAATCTGGTTTGTTGTCTGTCACAGTAGCTTGTTGCTGATAGTGTCTGGCCAACGAATCCAAAGTATCTTGCTTAGATAACTGTTAATAAACACCTGTATCATATGGATGATGGCTTACATAGTTTTCCAGGTCTCCGCCCCATACAGTAGAACTGTCTTGACATTTGTATTGGAAATTCTGATGTTCTGGTGTTGGTTGACAATGGTTTTGAAGTATTGTAAATTTTAGTTAAATATTATTAATATCAATAGAAAAGGTCATAGGGTATGAGAATCGCATCTCGGTTGAAAAATGTTCATATGTTTACTATCAACGCATTTCAAGAGGAATTCTCTCGGTTCTGAGAACTAGCTGTGACCAATGAAGTTGAACCACTTCAAAACAGTTAATATTAGAAAATCAAATTTAAATTCCTACAAGATTTCGAGCGGTACAGTTATCTCTCTGAAGTAATGGAAGACAGACACAATATATCTTGAATAGACTATTGTCGGACATTAGATGCTGACTCAGTGGTCTTGAGGTCATATAATTAGCGCGAGATCGAAGATTCTACTTTCAGTTCTTGATAGGGTCATGAATGTACACTACTAATGTTACACACACACACACACAAACACACTAGGACGATACAACTATCTAACACTTCCTAGTTTACAATGATGGTTTAAGTGAGATCAGTCAATTCTATAAACTAACAAAACTCAATAGTAAAATTTTACTTGGTATTGTTTGCTTGTATCTTCTCATTGTTATTTTGGACTCCAATTGATCAGTCTCTTGTTGGCATATATGCATCCTGTTCGGACTGCTTTGATATTGTCTGAAATCACAAGCTTTATAAGCAAAGATTGATAGTGGTTAGCAGTGGAATCCAAAATGCACGTTTCGTCCTATTTGGGACTCGTCAGTTTGGATGTACCTGCATCTCAGAGTTGATGTTCACTCTGGAACTCGAACCCAGTACCGTTCATTTCAAACTCAATAGGGTTCTTGAACCTTCTATACTTATAATATGACTATCACCATATTGTTTCTTGATATTTTCCATTGATTATATAGCTTCCAGAAAAGTATGGAATCAAATTAAAAAATCATGGAATGGAATTATATATACCAACAGTTCAAATGATTCATCATGGTAGTTATCGATGTAGTGGAATAAATTTAGATTATATGATTCCAACTGATGATCCATATGTTATATTCAATGTAACTGTTGAAAGTAAGTTGATTGTTTCATTTACACCCGTGTTTGTTAAACATTGATCCATCTTCTCACTGAATGCTTGAATCGACTTCTTGAGCGATTCAAGTAACTCAAAGTTGAATCTACATGACAACTTGAACACAAGAGGAAAGAAGCGAAATATATGAAGGATGTTTTACTACAAGATTAGTTTATCTACAGAACAGTGAGGGTATTTATAAAATTTCAAATAGCATTTAGCTTCTGGAAGGTTTCGGAATCCTGTTAAACAACAGTGTAAGCGTAGAGAACGAGAACACAAGTGGGGGGGGGCAACCAACTGTACTTTAATACAATATTACAGAATCTCATAGTAAGACCTGGGGACCAGACAGTAAATACTTCATTTGTAAAATGTCAATCAATCGTCTCACATTTCATTGTTCTTTCGTTTCTATATCAATCATTCTCTGTTCTCGTTCTCTTTTTCTTCGATCTTCCTAACCTTCTACCATCAGGTATTTCACTTTCGACTGATGATATATACTACTTATATCTGTCAACATCAATAGCGCACACCATAACAGGATAGGTAATCATCCAATCAGATATGTGATACGTGACTCTTCACTTTCAAGATGTTTCTGAGATATATCTATTCAATAGTAGTTGGAAAAAAATGTTTCCTAGTGTTTTCACGATCTCTCTGGGCTTCAAGACTGCTACCTACTTTTGGAGAGAATACAAATATACATTTGAACAAAGTAACATGACAGTACATTCTAGTGTACTTAGATTCTAATCACCTATAGTTTACAAGCTGTAATATAATACAGAGTTCAAGCTTCATTACGGAAGTGAATTTATTTAAATTATTTATTTATTATTATTTATTTGAACACATAAATATTGGTACAAGGAGGCACAAGATATATATGCACCAAACAAATCTCATTTGATTTGTGTGAGGGCTGTGATACTGACCAGGTGCCCAGACTGAAACAGATGGTTTTTTTAGGAGGCCACACCCGGAGCCTTTGACCTAAAGATCTGATCCACAAGGTGGTGGAGCATCGTGAGGAGATGCTGTCCCATGGTAACCAGTCACCAACGATTGATTCGTACGCCATTTGTTCCCTCAAGATACTGAGGCCAACCCATGTGCTCCATTGGTTTGGAATGAAGGTTTTCCAACTCCCCTAGGTGAACTTTCTGTGTCCACCAACCCGGTTAAAGCGCCAAACATTCGCTTTTTGTCATCTCAATTTTGTAAACAACGCCCATGGTGTGAGAATTTAGTGAGTAGGACTTCCCTGTCAGAGGCTATATATGTATGGCCATTTGAGGGCATTTGGGGATGAAGAGCAGACTCTCCCTACTCTCAGCCGTACGAGGGTATTCGGGGGCGTTTACATTATTAGTTTGATTGGCATTGATTCAAATAAAAAGAATATCCTGGAACTAAATAGTTTAAAAGTAGAACATCAAAAGATTACAAATTAAGGCTTACGTAATAGATACACACTTATTATGAATACAAAGAACACAATTAATCAATTGAATACAAAATTACTTTATCTAATTAGTTTCTTTCATGAATTTAAACAAGAATTTTTTTCATCAAGAAAAAGTCAAGAAACAAATTGCTCAAACGATTGCTCACGTCAACGAAGGACTTGGAAAATAAGATGGGAGCTATATTCTTTTTGAATAGATAAACTAGATTTCAAGGGCTTGATAGCAATAACTTCTACAAACTTTGAAGAACAGACATTAGGTGTATATTAGTTATTTTAAATGATTTCACAGTGCCCACTTGATATCCTGTTCCTAAGGGGTTCCTAAAAATTGAGCTACTGATTATCAGGATTACTGTTTAGCTAAGGCTTTTGGGAACGCAATTAAACAATCAATTATTGATTTCAATCAGAAAATCAACCATCTCGACATCTTTATTCCGATGATTACCATATGCTCACTAGTGAATAGCTTCGAGAGGGAATTCTAGGAGTTCTGATGAGAAGCCGTGACCAATGGAGTTCAATCGTGTCGGATGTGAGACAGTTATCCACCAATGTCAATAGAAGATGGTCGCGCACTTTCGTGGATTTGTTGAAGTTAAAAATTAACACCGTTGGATACCAGCCCAGTGATTTAGAGGTTAGGAGTGCGTGAATGAGACCGTAGGTCCCGGTTCGAGTCCCTTTGGTGTGGGATTGTGGATTCTCACCACTGAGGAGTTCCGTACTAGGACTGAATGGCCACCCAGTGCTCCCAGGTTCTCAATAGTGATTTAAACATTGATCGATTCATGATCTCAATCAAAACTCAACAATCTCCACAACTTTATTCTGATAATCTAAAGTAGACATTGCTTTCCTGTTTATTACAATATAACTGATTTAATGGACAAATTTAATGGTAGGTAAAATAGGGATACCAGTCTATCTATGATGAAGTTACTGAACACGTTTTATGCTGGAATTTTCATCTGATTATAGTGTAGGTTTTAGTAAATCCAATGTAGGTTTTTTAAGGATTGAAGGTAGGCCATGGTAAGGTATAGAATAAAGAATATATACCCAAGTTCTACATCATATTTCTAACTTTGTCTAAGACAAAAATAGAGTGCTTTCAAACAACACTTTTGTGTTAAGATGGTCAACAGGAAACTCTGAACCCTTGTTTTCTCGCTACTTGACACTCATCAGCAAGGTGTACCGCCAGGAAGCACCAGTTCCCTCAAGATTATAGGTACACCTTACTGACGAGTGCCAATTAGCACGAAACCCGGGTCCAGGGTTTCTTGTTGACCACTTCCAACCATCACCATATCTCAACATAGTGCACGCAGTGTCGAGTTACCTAGACTAGTCGCCACATTTCAACTTGATCGATAGCATTCGATCAAACATTAAGACGAACTTGACACACATGACATTGATCACTACCTAGTGTGATCAATCAATTGTGAACACTTTAGTGTATTTTTATAACTAACATGTGAACTTATCAGTTTTATGTGTATATACATTTATTTTTTCAGGTAAACCCCATTTTGCTGAATATCCTAAAAATACTATTTTACCAGAAAATAGTAGTATTGTACTACGGTGTAGTATTAATGAAGAAATTACAAAACCATCAGCAACATTAAATTGGTTAGTTAATGGTGAACCAGTTGAAAGATATTTAAATGGTTTACGTAAAGTTATTCGGAATAATGTAAGTATTATTAATGAATTTAATTGAGTTCCAGGATTTACATTAAAGTTTATTGTACACTGCTAGGTAATTAGGGGGTAAGCACAAAGATTTCCAGCTTAATCTAGGCCTCATTAATGACAGTATCTATCGTGGCTGAATGGCTCTATGTTGCCTTGGATTGATAAGTTTACAAAGTATTTGGATAGTAGTTAGTATTCCTGAATATCAACCATTGGATAATATGGATTTTTATGAATAGATACCATAGCTGTTGAATTATTTAGTAGTAGATAACGCATCAGTGTTTGGGACGATAGATACTCTATTCAGATATATATGAATATCAACTGTTGGATGGAGATTATTCAACTGATGAGTAACAAGTGATATGAAACCCACATCCTAAATCCTACTGCTAGACACATTATAAACATGTCAACAGTATTCAGGAAGTCACTAATCGTGCAGTTGATACGTGGATATGGTCCGGATTTATACGTTGTTATTCCATTTCTGTATGAGTCTTATATAATCCTATTCAATAGAACTATAGAGAACATCAAACAGTAAACTTTTCAATTATTATTATTAAAAATGATCAGTAAATATTACTTAAACCATTAAAATCAATAAATTGGTGTTCGCCTTCACAAATCCGATTGTTTGGTACGTTCACTACACTTTCTTTCTGCTTTTAGAACATATAAGTCAATATACTACTTATAAAAGTTAATCAGTACGCTGTTATTAGTTTGAAGAAATACTCACAAGAGTTTATCATTCAAAACTAATTGATAAATAAATTATCCTTAGTGAATTATGTATATTAGGATGAAGTCAATTTATGTCATTCATCATAATTCACAAGGATTATAAGCAAAGACAGATAGTGGTTAATGTTGTGACTTTATAAAATAAGAAGGCCGTATCCAATTCCTTATGATCTTATCTCCGGCTTTTTATCACGTGATTTATCCACCAGTTGAAATACGACTTTCCCAATCTTAACACTGTGCCAAATCAATGACGTTTGACCAATATGAGCATTCTAGCGTCCTTATTGGTCCCTTGTCCGCCTAGCCATTCCAATTGAGTTCAGAACACCAATTAGTTTCTGCTATTCGAATCATTTATTTAAAGCATACTCGGTTTATATGCCAGACAGACAGACCGCATCACACCATAAAATAGAAAATAATATTTGTACAAGATTAAGCCAAATGTGACTATGAACGTGGGAGACAATAATCAATAGACTCAATTTAATTTAGGTACAATAAATCGTATAATAATAATCCATTGGTCATAATGAAGCTTATAATAAGATGAATATACACAATCTATATACTCAATAGTTATTAAGAATATATTGAGAATAATCGCCCATTAATAGTTCCTGGGAGTTACCTTTACATATGTCTTTGCTAGTATATAACAGTTAGCAGTGGAATCCAGGATACGCGTTTCGTTCTATGTGAGACTCGTCAGTTAGATGTACCTGCATCTCACAGTTGATGTTTACTCTAGGATAACGCTATGGCGTTTGAAGCGAACGGTGCTGGATTCGAGTCCCAGAGTGAACATCAACTCTGAGACGCAGATACATTCAGCTGACGAGTCCGAACTAGGACGAAACGTGCATCCTGGTTTCCACTGCAAACCACTATCCGTCTTTGTTTATAATTACTCAAAGATTGTCCATAAATTATAGTCTCATCATTAATTCCAATGAAAGTAATTCCATATGAAGATTATATTGTGAAATATAATCAAAATAAACATCAGACATACACACACGCGTACACGCAAACATATACACACACACTTATATATATACATACCCCTATACATTCGTAGGGGTTCGGCATTCAATATTGTTACTAATCAAATGATGAATGAAGTAAAGATAAATGAGAAATTTTAGTGTAACAATTTTTTTTGTTTCTTAGTTTATTACTTAATTAAACAGAATGGGTTTTTGTAGAGATTTCACTATTTTCATAGTTGAAATCATGAGTCAATTGAGGGTAGACCACCATGGAAAAACCTGGAAGCACTGGACGGCCGTTTCGTCCTATTATGGGACTCCTCAGCAGTGCGTATCCACGATCCTGCCTAGCGAGATTCGAACACAATGAAGATTCATTAATTTCAACTTTATTTTTATAAATAGATATGTATGGATGATTAATAATCTATAAGTAGTATGTTTAGTTTATATATAATTTGCAATAAAATTGATCTGAAATTTGTAACGAAACTTAGAAGGTAGATTAAATGATTTATGGAAAGATTTCGTTAAGGTAATAGTACTACTCCTACTCCTCTTCCACCTCCTTCTCCTCTTCCTCCTCCTTCTCCTCTTTCTCCTTCCCCTCCCCTCCCCTCCCACTCCCCTTCTCCTCCCGCTCCTCCTCCTCCTCCTCCTCCTCCTCCTCCTCCTCCTCCTCCTCCTACTACTACTACTACTACTACTACTACTACTACTAATAATAATAATAATAATAATAATAATAATAATAATAACGTTATAATTATTGTATAACTGATTTATTATTATGCGTACAGCTGATGAATCCCACAATAGGACGAAATGGCCGCCCAGTGCTTCCAGGTTTTCCATGGTGGTCTAACTGATTTATTGTTTTGTCTTTTCTCTTTACATTGTCTATTTTATATATTCAATGTTCAATATCACTTGTTCAATAAGTTCAATTTAAGCTGATTATCTATAATTGTTATATCCAACAAAGAAAAATGACAAGTGAGGTAATGATGTATTACTGGATTGATCGTAGAGTTAATTGTAAAGAAAAACGGTGATTTATCTTCACTTGATGCTGTTTACTTGTATCTTCCCATTGTTGTTTAGGACTGTAATTGATCAGTCTCTTGTTGCTTTATGTGCATCCCATAAAGATTGCCTTAATATTGCCTTAAGTTACAAGGTTTTTAAACAAAGATGAATAGTAGTTAGCAGTTGTTTCTCATTATTTGGGATTCGTCGGCTAGATGTATCTGCATTTCAGAGTTGGGACTCGAACCCATTACCATTTGTTTCAAACGTTATCTTTTTATGCATTTAGCTTCTCAGTGGCTGCATACACGTGGCCATGTGAGAGTATTTTGAGTGAGAGAGAGAGGGCTGGTCCTCCCTACTCTTGGCCATATCGGGACATTTGGGAGTTTACTTTGGTCTCTTCACAAGTGACCACAACCATATAGCTTTCAGTTAGCCGGAAAAGCTGGACAAACATGATATTTACCACTGCTTATTCTTCACTAAGTTTACATTTGTAAGTCGAAAACTAGGTCATTCGCTTATCCGAATTGACAGACTGTTCAATTTCACAGGAAGCATCAATTACTTCAACTTTCTTTTGAGGGATGCTTTTATGGCGACTCCTAACTGACATTAATTATACATCCTAGGTTTTTTCTTGATTACTTTCTACTGTCTAACGGTCATAATCAATTTAATTTATCACCATATTCCAATTTTAATGGACTAGAATCTATTGACATGATTTCAGAATGTTTTCTCTTTAGAATGAAATAGTTTGTAGGATAAAACATTTTCATTAAACTTCATTCCATTTTCTTCAGCTATCATGTTGAGATAAGACGGTGGTTAGAGGTAATCGAAAGAAAACCTTGGACCTAGGTTTCATGCCACTTGGCACTCATCAGAAAGGTGTACCTGTAATCTTAAAGGATTGGGTGATCCCTAGTGGATTCGATTACATGTCACCTAGCTTTACAGTCAAAGACGTTACCACTAGGCTATCAGGAGTATCAGTTCCATCAAGATTAGAAGTACACTATGCTGACGAGTTCCAAGTAACACGAAACTTAGGCCCAGAGTTTCCTGTCAACTACCTTCAATCACCATCATACCTCAACATAGTGCACGTAATGTCAAGTTACCTAGACTAGTGATCACATTGCAACTTGGTCAATAGCTTTCGATCTGCATTCAGAAAGACCTGACATACATAATATTGATCAATTATAAATCTTCCACTACTAATTGAGTTCTATTTTACTCATTATTTTTAATTCAAGGTTTTATATTTATACAATTTAACTATAAAAGATTCAGCAGTTTTTCAATGTATCCTACATAATCTACATGGTATCAATATTATTAATGCTTATATACATGTATGGAATCAACCACCAGCATTTATTAATGTTATCCATGGAATACAATATATAATTGAAGGTCAACAAATACTATTACCATGTGAAACATTTGGTGCACCTCAAGCGGAAGTCAATTGGTTCTTCAATGAGAAACAATTGAATACATTTAAGAATCTTATGAAAGATGATTATATCATAGAAAAGAATGGTAATCTTCATATTATTGTAAGTTTATGAAAATTTCTTTGTATTGTTCTAGAAATTTATCATACAGCTTCAGTGAGATTGTGATGAATAGTAGAATTCTGTTAGAATAGGATAAAATGTGAGATGTTGTTTAGAGTAAGAGTAGTCTTGAAGGACACCCCCCCCAAATGTTCTGGTACGGTCGAGAGTGGGGAGAGTCAGCTCTCCATCTTGAGATGCTCTCACAAGGTCAAGCGTATATCGCCTCTGTCAGGGAAGTCCCAATCACTGCCTACTCGCACCACAGGTGTTGTTTACGAAATTTAGAGGATGAAAAGCGAATATTCGGCATTTCACCCGGGTTGGTGGACACGGAAAGTCTACGTAGGGGAGTTTGGAAACGCTGATTCTAAACCAATGAAGAGCATGGGCTCCAGTAGCCTGATGGAACAAATGGTGTATCAACCTATTGTTGGTCACCAACTACAACGGAACAAATCGCTCCACTGCTTTATGGATTAGACCTTTAAGTCGAACTCTACGGGTGTGGCTTTTTAAGAAAACCACCTGTTTTGGTCTAAGCACCCGGGCAGTATCACAGCTCTCACACAAAGTGTGGCGCATATGTATCTGGTACCCCCTTGTACCAATATTTATGTGTTTAGAACTATTACAGAAGATAATCTTATTTATCCATACATAAATTCAAACCTTTTAACTCTTATAATCAATATTCTATAATTAGAATTTGTAGCTTCCATTTTTCAGTTGTCAAGATAATTATTTATTGAAGTACCCAGTTACGTTATAACTCAATTCTTTGAATATATTACCTTACGCTGATAACTGTATGATCCAGAATGTACAAGATATACCTGCATTCCAAAGTTGGTGTTTTCATTGAGGTTAATATACCAAATAAGACAAAACTCACATCTTGGATTTTACTGCTAACCATTAATAAAAATGTATTAAAACCTTTTTTCGTAGAGATACATTAAGATCATTTGCTCAGTATTCATATATATATATCAATATAATTTGTTTAATTTCAGTCTCGAATATAATTACTTACGCCTGTTACTCCTGATGGAGGTATAAAAACCACCCACCAGCATTCTTCATCCAACTCTATCCTGGATAATCGTTTCCAATTGTTTTTAGCTACAATTCATTCTTTTCATATCAAGATTGGGTTGCATCGACACCTGAACTAATGATAGGGAGTGAAGTAGTTGAGCGTGTTGACCGCTTCACTTATCTTGGGAGTCTCATCAGCCCTTGTTTTCTGGTGTATGACGAAATCTCAGCACGGATACAGAAGGCTCGTCTAGCTTTCGCTAACTTGCGTCATTTATGGCGTAGGCGAGATATCCGTCTAGGAAGAACAGGACGGGTTTACTGTGCAGCAGTTCGTTCCGTCCTACTTTATGGCAGTGAAACATGGCCGATAGGAGTAGAGGATATTCGTAGGCTACTAGTATTCGATCATAGGTGTCTTGGAAGCATTGCTCGTATATCCTGGGACCACCGAGTAAGTAATGCAGTTGTTAGGAAACGGGTACTATGTAAGGATAGCAAATCGATTAGTGAAGTAGTGAAACTTCATCAGTTGAGATGTCTGGGACACGTGTTACGTATGCCTAATCACTGACTGCCCCGGCGGTCGATGTTTCATGGTGTAGGAGCAGGTTGGAAGAAAGTTATGGGCGACCAGACCAAAACATGGCACAAATCCATGAAGTCACTGACAAGTGGACTGAGCCATGTTGGTTGGTTGGGATTCGCGAGATGATAGCAATCGATGGTTAGAGACCTTGAATGACATGGCTCAAAATCGTTTGCAATGGTGCATGTGCATCCACTCTTTGTGTTCTCCCAAATTCTAACCTGAATTATTCATGTCTCTATCTTTTTTTCTCTTTCCAAATTTATTTCATTGTATTATACTTTTTCAATAACATCTTCAAACCCTTATCTTTCACACAATGCTTATACTCTTACTACTTCTACCACTATGGATTTGAATCGACAATTGTATCTCTGTGCTAATGTGGTATGGCAACTCGAACTGATGTACGTAAATACGAAGTTATACATTGTAACTTATAGACTTTTCATATCTGATCTCAATTCTCGAACTAGTGTATTCTTTGACCTTCCTATTTTCCTTTGCTCTTCAGGATTCCATGTTAACACTTACTTCATAATGTAGTTTGATGATTTCCACAATGTTTATCTTATCCACTTCAAATATCTTTCCTTGATCGACTCTTCAACTAGAAGCTAGTTTGTTCTGTCTCGCAGTAGACTGTTGTCTAATATCAATAACTGCCAGTTACAAATCTTTACTTAACAACAAACATATATTACTTAATAGTAATATATTTCAATGTCACTAATGTCCCCCTTCTCTTTTATACTATTCCTTTAATCAATAGAGTGCTAAATTATCCCATAATGGTACATATTTATGTAAAGCATCAAATATATTTGGTATATCACAATCAACTGGGATATTATTCATTAGAAAACAGACACGTATTATATCTGGTCCATTAATTGAACGAAATGTCAATACTACTACTAATAATACTACTACTAATACTACTACTACTACTACTCATAGTAATAAGAGAATAAATATGAAGTATCTTATAGAAGGATCAAACATTCAATTGGCTTGTAAAGTTGAAACTGATCCATTACATGAAGATCAATTGACAATAGTATGGAGAAAGTAAGTTATATAGATTTAATATTGGATCTTTCCTATTCATCTTTATTGAATTAGATTCGATTCATTACAGATGTATATCTTGTAATGGTTTGTAATTCCTAAATGTTGTTCATATTCAGAATTAATCGATCGGCTTATGTATTTGTTCATGTATGGTTAAAAGAGAGTAAGGGGGTCAGGCCTAAACGTCACATCAATGCTTGAAGTCACTAACTTCTAGTCTGAGCCATGTTGGTAGATGCAGACTACTTGATTGGGGTCCGCGTGACTACCGAAACCAATGGTTGGAGACTCTGTGTGACATGGATCAGAATCAATCACAATGGCGCAGGTGCATACACTCTTTATCTTCCCTTAAACCTTGAGATTGAAATTGCTTCATAACTTCCTTCCTATACTATATCCTTATATACAACCTATCTTTTATATACTACCATAACTAAATGAACTACTTCTATGAATTTGGTGTTCATCTTGTTGTGCGAATGAGGTATGGCAACATGGCCTGGTCCTACGTTGTACCTAACTGACTGACTAAAGGTAAAACTTCTATATAGAATTGTATATACAATTGTATAGAATTGTATATAGAATTCTATTGCTGATTACTATTTAGAAATATAGTAGTAGGTAATATATCGACTAATTCACTCAAAGAGTTTATAAATTAAGATAACCTGATCATACTAAATATTGAACATTACAGGGCAGAGGAATACAAATCCTATCGATAATAGTAATAATGAATACTATATTGTTGCAATTGATCTATCACTAGGTGGTGATCAATGTCATGCGTGTCAAGTCCGTCTTAGTGCTGATCGAATGCTATCGATCAAGTTGCAATGTGGCCACTAGTCTAGGTAACTCGACACTGCGTGCACTATTTTGAGATAAGGTGGTGGTTGGAAGTGGTGAAGAGGAAACCCTGGACTGGGGTTTCGTGCTACTTGGCACTCGTCGGCAAGGTGTACCTATAATCTTGAGGGAACTGGTGCTCCCTGACGGATTCGATCCCGTATCACTCAGCTTCACAGTCAGAGACGTTACCACTGAGCTATTGGTTTCAATCTATGTGCACGGTTTGTGAAGTTAGTTAATTTTCATAGTTATCAGTACTCACTGATCTGAAATAGCAATTGAAGTTAAATAAGGATATGATAATTAGTTTGTCCTAGTATAGGATATAAAACATTGTTTATCCATGTCCTTGCTAGGAATCGAACTCAACACCTTCATATTTTATAGTCAGAATCTTATCTTAAAACTATTGAGTTAGTAACCAATATTATACATCACAACTTGATTGAAATTAGAAATGTTTTCAGTTAATATAGAACATACTATCGAAGTACCATTGGTAGTTACTGGTTTAAAAAAGTTGTTAATGTCTAAATATCCAAATAGATGATATATACGATTGGTATTTTCAAGTTGACTTAAGAGGAAGAGAGAGATAAGAGATAGTGACTGACTTCAAGTTGTATTTCCTGGAGTTCTATTGAAAGCCGTGATCAATAGAGTTCAACCGTGTCTGTTGTAAGGTAGTGACTCATTGAAGACAACGATGGACGGCGGCGCAATTTTGTGGATTGGTTGAAGTAAGACATTAACACTACTGGATGCCAACTCAGTGGTTTAGAGGTTAAACTTTCTCGCGCGAAACCGTAGGTCCTGGGTTCAAGTCTCGCATGCGGTATAGTGGATGCGTACAGCTGATTAGTCGCATACTAGGACGAAACGGTCGTCTAGTGCTTTCAGGTTTTCCATGGCTGTCTAGCTTTAATCGACTCATGGGTTCAACTATTAAATTACTATAATCTGCACAAAACCACTTTTCCGATAACAAGATTATCTGTTTATTTAACCTGAACACAACCAATCATTCTCAAAACTGTGTAACATTCTATGTGGTTCATTAGAAATTTCGTCCAAATTTGAACTGATAGTTTCATAGTAGTTGGGTATCTAGTTAATTTAAACTAGTTAAGGAAGAAAATTATGTTTGTAAAATTTTCAGAGATTGGACTATGAATCAATTTAGTACCATGACTAACCGATTTAACCGGTGATATACTTCAAATTCAATCTCTAAGATGTTTATGAATATAATTTTCCTTCTTGATTCTGTTGGGGAGACCCAGAATATTCCTCAATAAAAGCTCAAAGAGGTCCTGAAAACTCTGGAAAACATCTTATCCAATCACCGTTCTCAGAAACATTTAGAAAGTGAAGAGTCACGTGTCACATTTCTGATTGGCTGATTATCTGTCCTCCTACTATGTTTGGTAAAATTGCAGAACCCCCCAGAAACCCAAAGCCATCTGAGATGTTATAAATACCCTCAATGTTCTGTAGGTAAACTAATCTTGTAGTAAAGCGTCCTTCCGATATTTCGTACCTTTTTTCTCATGACCAAGTTGCCGTGTAGATTTAATTTTGGGTTACTAGAATAGCTTAGGAAATCGATTCAAGTGTTCAGTGAGAAGATTAATCAAATTCTATGTATTTATTTAAATTATTCAATTATTAAAGTGTCAGCAATGAGATGATGTGAATTAGTTTGACAAAAGAACTTTATCAAGACTCAATAAAGAGGCTGTTTAAACTTATCTGATAAGAATACGTGTGTTTTCAATTATACACACTTGATCTTATCCATTGCTCACCTTATGTTGAATCTGTTATATTTCTACCTATGGTTAAATTTGACAGAACCTATGAACTAACGGCTAACATGATACAGGATAACAGATTATAACCTTTGTTTCGATTACTATATTGATATGTCTACAGTCCGTGCGTTGGTGTTTTCTGTCTTCGGAATTAGCTGATTGTTTTTATCACAGATTAGTCTTAGCTGTAATATCAATGATGGCTAGAGAGTACAAAATAGCCGTTTTGTTCTGTTATTAGACTCGTCGATATATGACTAATACAACTGTGGAAATTTAACCATTATTTGCAGGACCCATTCAGTACTCACTTCACCAGTAGCTTACATCAGGATGTTCCTCAGCTTTTAATGAGAAATTATAACTAGTGGATTTCAGATGTGTGGGGGAATGAAACATTTATCACTTAAATCAGAGGACTGTTGACATTCTAAATCGCAAACCAACTGAAGTTAAAGTTATACGATTGGCCACCAACCCAGTTAATCTAAAGCTAGGCGTTTAACACAAGATCTAAATGTCTTGTGTTCGATCTCTTGTGAGTGTGGATTGCTGAGGAATGAAAAACTAGGTCTAAATGGTTAGCCATTGCTCTCTAGTTTTTAATGATGTTCCAACTGCGATCGAACTGTGACATATACTATCTATAAGATAAACTAATCTTTGTTCCCTTATGGGAGTTAACAGCGGGTCCTATCTACAACCTTGCATTTGAGAATCGAACCCAAGACCTCTGATCTCTCTCAAGAAGGCTTAGAATTTAGACCACTGAGCTTACATCCAACAATTTTAATGCCTAATTTCATTCAGTCCATGATGTTACTCAGCCCTCATCCATTACGAATGGTATTCAGTCAATGTTACACATTTGAAGTGCTTATTAATTTTCAGGTCTATCCCCCTTGGAGATCATGTTTATCTATTTCATAGTCAAAATAATGGAAAGGAATACTTTTAAATCTTTTAAACCATGTGAAAAACCATTATTAGAGGACTATATCTGTTATATTTCGAACTTAGGTTCTCAGTATGTTGAGTAATACTTGGGCACTTGAACACTAGAACACTCCCAAGTCGTAAATATAATACAAAAATCTGATGTATTTATAATTTTTTTTGGCTGAAAGTAAATCCTCATTTCGGACAGCCAAAAGGCACATACGGGGTCCTTCTTAATCACCCAATAGGGAAGCTACATGTCGACATTTTAAAATGTTCCTCTAAAGGTGATTGGATGGAATGTCTTCGGCTCTTTCAGGGTTTCTTGAAGCTTCCTTAGGTTTGCCAACGAGCCATCCTTACAATATCCTGTTGAAACTGTTTTCATAACACGACTGTACTTGATTGTCTCGATTTACTTAAGCGGCATATTACTTCTTTTCCTGTACTTCATTTTCTAACATTATACTGATTATATTTGCCCATAATTCAGAATAATCATTTCAGCACGGTTTATTTATTTGACTTTATTTCAGAGATAATTTAACTCTTCAAGATGCTTTTGAACATAGTGATCGTCTTAATATTACATCATCAAATAATGAAAGTCTATTGATTGTAAACTTGATATCAAGTGATACTGGAATCTATACATGTATAGCTAGTACAAAGTTGGATAGTGTCAATTCTTCCATTCATCTTATAGTTCAAGGTAATCAAACACATTTGTATGTTTTTTCTGAGGTTTTAAGAGTACTGACAGTGAATATTTTCCATTTGAGCTAGTATTTATGTATGAATATGTTACATTGTTAGATAAGTACGAATTCCGTTTAATTCATTGAAGTTTTGAATTGAATCTAAGTTATACCTGGAAGCATTAAACGGCCGTTTTATCCAAGTATAGGACTCCTCAGCACTGCATAGAGACGACCTTTTACCATGGCGAATCGAGGCCAGAACCTTCGGTCTCTCACGAGAACTTTTAATTCATAAACTAAAGATTTGACATGCAACGATGTTAATGTTTAGCCTCAATTGATCCACGACATGGCGCGATCGTCTTCTATTGTCTTCAATGAGTAACTCCCTATTTATTAATCAACTCTCACATGTATACAACCAGTTTTTCTGAAAGCTGAGTAAATAAACTTGTACTTAGTAAATAAGGTAATTTAAGATGTTTATTGACTTAAATAGTAAGCAAAAGTTAACTGAAACATGTAACTCTTACCACATACACAGAGAATGTTGAAGAACATTGAAAGTAACTAGTAGAATGCAACTCTTTTGTTCCAGTATGAAATTAAGTGTATCAAAGATGATATATATGCGAGAGAATTACTCTGAATTAAAATAGAAGAACAAGATTCTCAAATATAACACCGAGAACACCAACCCAATCACATTTGATGGCGAAATTCTGGAAGAGGTGGAAACATTCACGTACCTGGGAAACATGATTGATGAATGTGGATGATCTGATACAGATGTAAAGGCGAGGATTGGCAAAGCAAGGAAAGCATTTCTACAATTGAAGAACACATGGAACTAAAAACAACTATCAACTACATTCAAAGTGAGAATCTTCAATACGAACGTCAAGACAGTCCTACTGTACAGAGCTGATACGTGGAGAACTACTACATCTATCGTTAAGAAGGCACAAGTATTTATCAACAGTTGTTTACGCAAAATACTCAACATTCACTGACCGAATACTATCAGTGACAGCGTTTTATGGGAGAGGACAAACCAGCTTCCATGTTAGGAGGAAATTAGGAAAAGACGTTGGAAGTGGATAGGACATACAGTGAAGAAATCAACAAATTGCATCACGAGGCAAGCTCTCACTTGGAATCCGGAAGGGAAGCGGAAAAGAGGAAGGCCAAAGAACTCACTACACCGGGAAATAGAAGCGGATATGAAAAGGATGAATAACAACTGGAATGAACTGGAAAGGATTTCCCGGGACATGGTTGGGTGGAGAATGCTGATGGGTGGCCTATGCTCTTCCACGAGAGGTAACAGGCGTAAATAAGTAAGTAAGTAACAACAGAGGCAACATTTTGAAAGAATAAAGGGGTATTATTTGAAAAGATGTACTTCAAAAATTATATTGTCTAAATATTTGTTGTGAAGATGTGACCTAATGTAAACCTTGTTTATCGAATTATATAACTGTTCCTTTCTAAACGTTTTCAGAAATAATCATACAATGAATTTACTGCATATTATGACAATTACGTGCACTGCATAGATTTTAATCTACAGCCCCCGAATACCCTGGCATGACCGATAGCGGAGAGAGATTGCTAGCTCTCCCTCTCAAAATGATCTTATACAGCCACGTGTATACAACCACTTACATTCTCGTGGTGGGAGGGATGTCTACGAAATTGAGAGGACAAATACCGAATGTCCCGTTCTCTAGTTGGGTGGGTAAACATGAAGTATCCACCAAGATTCTAAACCTATGGTATACATAGGTTATAAGATCCAGAAGGAACAAATGGTGTATGAACCTATTGTTGGTCACCGATTACCATGAAACTGCATTCCCTTATGTTGCCCCACTACCTTATGGATTAAACCAGTAGGTTGAAGTCTCCGTGTTTGGTCGGCTAAATAAACCACCTGTTTCGATCTAGTCCCTCGAAAAAGTATCTTAACTCTCACAAAAATCGAATGATTTATATAACATGTATCTATTTAATGTTTCTTTGTATCAATATTCTTAAGAAATTTTTTTATAGTTGAAAGCATGAGTCAATTGAAGCTAGACTACCAAGGAAAACTTGAAAACACTGAGCAGCCGTTTCGTTCCAATGCGGGACTCCTCAGCAGTGCGCATCCATGACTTCGCTTCGTGAGATTCGAACTCAGGACCTACCAGTCTCTCGCCAGAACACTTAACCGATAGACCACTGAACCGACATCCGTTGGTGTTTATGTCTAACTTCAACCAATCCACGAAGTTAAACAAACATTCACCAATTTTCTTCAATGTGTTCATATCCTACAACAGACATGGTATGAACTTCACTGGTCACTGTGCAGTGTTGAGGAATCCCACAATAGAACGAAACGGCCTTCCAATGCTTCCAGGTCTTTCTTGGTGGTCTAGCTTCACCGGACTAATGCTTTCAACTACTCAAATACTGAAATCTTCACAACCCCCCCCCTTCTAATTTTTTTTATATCATTTGTTTTAGGTCGTCCAAAACCACCAAAATCTTTGAAATTATTATGTAATTATCATAATCCATTATATCCATATATTATGTTAACATGGGAATATGATGAAACTATTTATTCACCAATTCATAAAGTATTAATTACTTATATTACAGGATTTTATCGTCCTATTGAAGGTTATTCATCATTAAAACATAATAACAAAGATAATTTTAAATTTATCGATTATCGATATTTCAATCAATCAATCAATAATCATAAGAATGATCTTTATTGGTTTAATCAAACAACATTCAATATAGCTCAATCAATGATAAAACAATCAATAATTAATAATCAATGGAATACAATAGATCTTATACCAGAAATCAATATTATGAATTATTTAAAACATAAAAATCAATTAATCAATAATCATACTATTCATAATACTACTAATTATAGGAATACTACTACTAATAATAGTAATATAATAAATCTATTAAATATACCATTCTATCATTATAAACGTGCATTTCTATCTATCCATTCTGATGTTATTTATCATTTTCGTATTGAATTATTAAATCATATAGGTAAATCGTTGCCTAGTGATATTATACCAAAATTAAATAGTAAACAAAATGAATTATGTATCTTTCCACCGAAACCATTAATGATTAATTCAGATTATTTAATAGTATATGGTAATAAACCAAATAATTTAATTATACAATGGAAGGTAAGGGTTTTTTTTAATTTTTGTAACATTCATTATGGAAAACTTGAAAGGATTGGACGACTATTTCGTCCTAGTGTGGGACTCCTAAGCGATGAGCATCCACGATCCTGCTAAGTGAGATATTTCTTGGAGTTCTAGTGAGAAGCAGTGACCAATGGAGTTCACTCAGGTAGTGACTCATTGAAGGTAATGGTGAAGGGTTGCTCAAATTCGTGGTTTGGTGGAAGTTCAACATTAACATTAATACCGGCCAGCTCAAAGGTCTAGAGGTTAAGCGATCGCAAGTGAGACCGAAGTTATTGGGTTAAAGTCCTGAGTGAGGTACCACGGGTGTGCACTGCTGAGGGGTCCAACAATAGGAGGAAACGGCCGTGCAGTGCTTTCAGGTTTTTCATGGCGGTGTGGCTTCAATTGACTTGTGATTTTAACTATAAAATTACTGAAATCTCCACAAAAACTCTTCTGATAGTATATGATTTGACCTTTTTTTAAAACCTTTGTGAAGATGAATATTAGATGATTTTGTGGATACCGACTCAGTGGTCTAGAGGTTAAGCTTTAACATGTGGTACTGAAAGTTCGAGGTTCAAGTCCTTTCGATTTATTTATTCATTTGAACTTATAAATATTGGTACAAGGAGGCACAAGATTTATATGCACCACACAAAAAATTGTCATTTCATTTATTTGTGTAAGAGTTCCCAGATCGAAGCAGGTGGTTTTCTTAGGAGCCCACTCCCGGAGACTTTGGTAGCTGATGACCAACGATTGATTCATGCGCCATTTGTTCCACCAAGATACTGGAGCCTATGGACACCATTGATTTTGAATGAGGGTTTTCCGACTCCACTAGGTGGACGCGCCGTACCAGGGCATTTGGCGGCAATCCTTTTGGTATAGGATTGTGGATGCATACTAATGAGGGGTTCCATCTTAAGATGAAACGATCTTCTAATGCTTTTCAAGTTTTCAATAATAGTCCAACATTAATCGATTCATAATCTTAATCAAAAGTTTAACATTCCTTACAACTTCATAATGCTTTGATAGTGAAATAAATTAAGATTCTAGCTCGGTATTTAGTAAAAAGAACTAAGATATATGAAACATTTCAAAGCGTTATCTAAGTAAGTTTCTAAGTTAATATAACCATCAATTTGTTTGGTTAATATGACATTTAAGTTACAAAATAAGGACGTCATACTACTGATATACACTTGAAAAGGGATAAACAGAAACTCGATGGTTTAACACTTCCTACTTCAATTAATTCATGATATTATCCCGATCATCATCCATTGATATCCATGAAATCTGTTCAACCCCATAATGATAATTACCATGTACTAATTAGTGACTAGATTCAAAATGAGTTTCTTAGTGTTCTAATGAAAAGCCTTGACCAGTGGAGTCCAATCTGTGTTGGTTGGAAACAGGTATCTACATCAGACAGAAGAAGATGAACGCACTATTCCATGAAATCTTTGAAGTTAGATAATGACACTATTGAATGCCAGCTCAGTGATCTAGAGGTTAAGAGTTCGAAAGTGAGGCCTATGGGTCTGGGTTCGAGTCTCTTTAGTGCGGGATCATAGACTCGCACTACTGACGAGTTTCGTACTGGGACGAAACGACCGACCATTGCTCTCAGGTTTTCAATGGTGGTCTAACACTGATCGATTCATGACCTCAATCAAAAACTCAACAATCTCCACAACCCTATACAGATGAGAAATGTTCTAGTTAATCAAGCAAATTACTAATATGATTATTTTTAGTTGTCAAATAACTAAAGAATGAAGGAGTTACGGCTTAGCGGTTGGAAGATTAAATATTAAACGATAAAGTTGCAAGTTTTTGGACCTCATATCACTGGCATCGACCCCCAAGGATCGAGCAGTAACTCCAGTAATCCAGTATGCACATTTACCAATAAGAGACTGATCAGTTGTAGTCATAAACATCAATGGGAAGATTGAAGTAAACAAAAACAAGTGAATTTAAACTTCACCCCATTGCACAAGCAAGTGGCTATCAGGACTCATCAGCTATGCGGATAATGTGATGACGTTTGAAGTGAACTGTTTCGAGTTCGAGTCCCTGAGGGAACATCAACTCTGAGATGCAGTTGCATCCAGCTGACGAGTCCCAAATAGAACGAAACGCACATCCTGGATTCTACTGCTAGCCACTATCCATCTTTGCTTGTAGTTCCTCTTTTTAGTCTGTTTGTTTCATGCTATCTCTAATATGTTATAATATATCACAGATAATCTCTTTTTTTTTCTTTTTCTCTTTTTAACCATAGCCCATAGATCCTATTGAACATAATGGTCCAGGTTTAATTTATCGTTTAACTATTAATTGTTTGGATTGTATTAATGGTCCTACAAAAAATGTATTAAATTATACAATAGTTAATAATTGGTCTAAAGATCGAATAGAATTAACGAATTTAATAACACCACGTTTAACACCTAAAACTGATGATCAAAATCAAATAGATATATGGAATATAGAAACATTTCGTACATATCAGGTAAGAATCAAGTCAGTGATTAATTGATTAATGGTTGAATAGATACTGGATACTGACAGTCTGCTTAAAACATCTGAGCTATCTGTTTTATGTTCATTTTAGTATTGTTTGTTTGAATCTTCCCATTGTTATTTAGAACTGCAATTGGTCAGTCTCTAATTGACATATGTGCATACTGTGCGTATTGCCTCGATATAGCCTTAATTTACAAGCATGGTAAGCAAAGATGGATAATGGTTAGCAGTGGAATCCAGTTTGACATGCGTTTCGTCCTATTTAGGACTCATCAACTGTATGTACCTGTATCTCAGAGTTGATATTCACTCTGGGACTCGAACCCAGTACTTTTCGCTTCGAACGCCATCACGTTATCCACTCGATCACTGAGTCCTGATAGCTACTTACTTGTGCGATGGAATGAAGTTGGCTTCGAGTCCTAGAGTGAATATCAACTCTGAGATGCAGGTACATCCAACTGACGAGTCCCAAATAGGACGAAACGAGCATCCTGGATTCCACTGCTAGCCGCTATCCATCTTACCTGTTTTATGGTTAGTAATCGCATAACCGACTTCAGGTATGTTTCTACAAAGTGTATAAGATTTCGTTGTACAAGTTAAAAAAAAGGCCTAATCAGAGATATGGCAGGTAATAAGCAACGAAAAGGATGTACATTAGTTAGATATCGATTGACTGGACTGTTAACTTCTAACTGAAGAATACTCAATATTGTTGAGATACTTTCTGCTGAGAATTCTCTATTGTACCAAACGTATAATATTGAATAAAGCTAATAATAATAATGTTACATTTCATGAGTACGAAAAGAAAAATGTTTTTCTACCATGTAAATTAGATACAACATTAGATCATAAAATGATACAACGGCCAACGTAGTTATTGAACCAGTCGAAGAGATAAAGTTACTTGATATTTCGATACTGAGTGGCAGCACAGAATTAATCGAAGTTGGTGATTTAGTTCTTTACTAGTAGTATGCTTACCGAGATCATTGAATGTTATGAGATAAAATGCTTAGGCAGTTTATGAATAAAAAAACAAAGCACTAGTGAGCAGCTGACTAGGATGAGCTATTGTTTATTATCTTCAAGTTTTCAATAGTTGTCCATTGTGTAAATGATCTTTAAAGCAACAACAATACATAGAATTCATCCTGATTTGATATGGCTAATGTTTGGTACAAAGAAGCATGAAATAGATATGCGCCACTTAAATCAATCGATTTGTGTGAGAGCTGAGATACTACTCGAGTGCATAGACCGAGGCAGTTGGTGGTCATACTTGGAGCCTTCGACCTAAAGATCTTATCCATAAATTAGTGGAGCAAAGTAAGCAGATACAGTTTCATGGTAGCAGGTGATCAACAATAGGTTCATACACCATATTTTCCCTTTGGATCTTAGAGCTCATGTACACTATCGGTTTAGAATCAGGGTTTTTCTAACTCATCTAAGTGGATTATCCATATCTATCAACCTAACTAAAGCTTTTCGTCCCTTCGATTTCTCAAACAACACTGCAGTGGCGAGAAGGCAGTGAGTAGGACTCCCCTATCAGTGATTATATGCATCTGTCCATGTGAGAGCATTTGGAGAGGTAGAACTAACTGTTTCCACTCTAGTTCTTACCAAGGCATTTGTGGGTTTAATCTTATTATGGAACACTAAAATTATCCCGTAATTCACAGTGTGTTGACGGCAAGGCTCTGGTATTCAACACTCACCGAATAGATGAATGAAAAGTATTTGAATGGTGAATAGGATACATAATAAGTGAATACTGAGAGCTCTGGTGACAAAAGTTAACATTCGAAGACTAATCATTCCATTTCAATACTGTTAGAATTGTAAACATTGAAATATTACTATCATACTATTTAAATTCACTTTAGTATTGTTTATTTGAATCTTCCCATCGATGTATCAAGACTGTAACTGGTCAATCTCTGATTGACATATGTGCATACTGTGCGTATTACCTTGATTGCCTAGATTCCATTGTTAACCACAATCAATCTCTACTCACCTATCATACTATTTACTTTGTAATGAACAGAACACTGGTTGGGGACAATCGAATGTATTTAAGCAAACATTACAGACTATCTCGGTAAATTCTGATAACCAAACAATGAACAGTCAATTTGCAAATTAATAACCAATTGTCTCAATCTTCACTGTTTCTTCTCTAATTCCATTGCTCATGCATTTTCCAAACGATTGCGCTTCATTTCAGTTCTTTCCTCATCGGTCTTCTGCGAAAATACATTCTATGTCTGACCCACGCCATATACTACTTATATGGATATAAGTAGACAACACCACACTCGTCCCCCCTTTAAAGCATTCGTTCATGCGGTGGTTCTGCTCGCCACGCCGCTATCTTCTTCCACTGCAGTCTGTGCCAAACTCTCCGTCAGAATGTTGAGTCTGCGGCGCGCTGACCTCCATAGCTCCGTCGACATGCCGGGGCACCAACATCCGCATCCACCCGGCACCTGGGACGTTCAACACCCGTACTCCACCGGCCTGCTGAGCCATCTACATCCGATGTCCGCCCAGCAGCCGCACGTCCCACTGCTCCTCTCCGTCGACAGCACCCGCTACAGCCAACGCCGTCCCGCCAGAACACTCCACTCGACGCCACCTCTCCTCACCAGACTGCCCCAACTAGCACCTCCACTCCAGACACGCAGCGGCGTCCGCAGAACAGCACCCTTCCTCCTCCTGGTTGGCAGCGACACCAAATGTAGCGAACAAAACACTAGTTGGGGACAATCGAATGTATTTAAGCAAACATTACAGACTATCTCGGTAAATTCTGATAACCAAACAATGAACAGTCAATTTGCAAATTAATAACCAATTGTCTCAATCTTCACTGTTTCTTCTCTAATTCCATTGCTCATGCATTTTCCAAACGATTGCGCTTCATTTCAGTTCTTTCGTCATCGGTCTTCTGCGAAAATACATTCTATGTCTGACCCACGCCATATACTACTTATATGGATATAAGTAGACAACACCACAACTTCATAAACTTTTTTTTTATCAAAAACTAATGTATTCTATTCTACAGGTTACTTTACAAGCTGAAAATGATTTAGGTTCATCTGGTACAAAACCATTAGTATTTACTGGTCGTTCCGGTGAAGATATTCCACAATTGATTCCAATTGAATTAAGAATTCTTCATATTAATTCTAAAAATATAACATTTAGTTGGAAAATGATAAATGATTCTGATTTCTCCATAAAAATGAATGGTATATTTCAAGGATTTCGAATTGAATGGTGTAATGCTGATTTATCAAATGATTCATGTGAATTTTATAAAAAATCACAGGTTAGAAAAATTGGAGTCATTTTTTTTTTGTATTTCATTTAAGTAACTTCTGATATTCAAATCATTTTGTAGTTAGATAGATTGTGAAGAATAAGTCAGTGTCGTCGACGAGTGTCGTTTTCTTTAGTGGGGGGGGTCGTTCAATAGAGCACACAAAGAATTGAACATAGAAGATCTAGATCTTGTGATGATGACAGTATTTACACTATTGGTTTTGGATTTTCAACTTCAATTTATTCAAAGCATAATTCAATCATCATTGAGTATCACTGGTGATAACTATTTCAGTTGAGTTATTGTTAAACTCCATCAGGTAATTCCTGTAGTTCTAATGAGAAGTCGTGGCCAGTGGAACTAATCCATGTCAGGTAGAGATAGGTATCTTCTTCAGTACAATGGAAGTTGGTCGAGCAATTTCGTGGATTGGTTGAGGTTAGACATTAACACCGCTTGATGCCAACCAGCTCAGTGGTCTAGAGGTTAAGTGCTCTGGCGCGAGATTGGTAGGTTCTGGGTTGAAATCCCGCGAGGCGGGATCGTGGATGCGAACTGCCGAAGTATCCCATACTAGGAGGAAACGGCCGTCCAGTGCTTCCAGGTTTCCCATGGTGGTCTTGCTTGAATGACTCGTGATCTTAACTATATGAAACTTTCTATGTTGTCGCCTCATTAAACCATGGTTATTATATAGTGAGAAATATTAGCTTTATTAGTGAGCTTTGGAAAGCTGTTTTGTCTTAATTTATAACTTTTCATCCTAAGCGTTCACATGAGAAATCTTTTCATGTTGACATTAAACTAGTAACTAAGCTATACTATAAGCAATATCCAGAGTATACGGGAAAACAGCTGTTTGATGGATTAATAAATTAATACCATATCCAAAAAGAACTAGACTTCTGAACTACTCAAGGATCATACTGTAGTGAACAAGAACACGGCTGGGGAAAATTGAATGTATTTAAGAACAAATAAGAGACTATCTCACTAGATTCTTATAACCATACAGTAAATACTTAATGTTACTTGTTTGAATCTTCCCATCGATATGTTAGGACTGCAACTGGTCAGTCTCTAATTGGCATATGTGCATACTGTGCGTATTGCCTCGATATAGCCTTAATTCACAAGCATTGTAAGCAAAGATGGATAGTGGCTAGCAGTGGAATCCAGTTTGACGCACGTTTCGTCCTAATTGGTATTCGTCAGCTGGATGTACCTCCATCTCAGAGTTGATGTTCATTCACTCTGGGACTCGAGCTCAGTACCTTTTGCTTCAAACGCCATCACGTTATCCACTCGGCCACTGAGTCCTGATAGCCAATTGCTTGTGCGAGTGGCCGAGTGGATAACGCGATGGCGTTTGAAGCGAAAGGTACTGAGCTCGAGTCCCAGAGTGAACATCAATTCTGAGCTGCAAGTACATCCAGCTGGCGAGTCTCAAATATGACGAAACGAGCATCCTGGATTCCACTGATAGGCACTGTCCATCTATGCTCACAATTACATCATGTTATCTTGAATTCTTTTGAAGAGATTTCTAAAGATCCCTAAGGAATCAAAATCTATTCAATTCTCTTCTAGAATTTCGAAGACAATGATCAAAAAAGTTCATTATACTTTTAATCGTAAATTATTTTATTTTCTTTTTCGCCCCCCCCTTTTTTTAAGGATTACATTCTTGAACAACCTCCATCTTGGTCATTTCCAAATTTACGTCAAATGTCATCTCAAATATTCTTAGATAATCAACCCAATGATGTAATAGATATTAAAAGTACCTCGGTAACTATGTCTTCTACAACTATTGATCATTCAAATATTCAATATGAAAATGACTGTTATATAGTTCATTTAAATGAATTACCTGGTAAAACGAAATTAAAAATATGGGTTCGTATACTTAATATACAATATGCTGGACCAGAAAGGTAATATATATATATATATATTTATTTGAATATATAAGTATTGTGGGATTGATCTCCATACGAAGAGATCCACTTATCGACTTACAATACACAGATAGAGACGCCGACAAAATGTAGAGTTTTCTGTTAACACTGGGTAACAATGCCAGGATATTTGGAATGCGTTTCTCCCCATCCAAATGTAAATTGTTACTCCAGGACTGGCCTTCGTCAACACCTGAACTAAGGATAGGGAGTGAAGTAGTCGAACGCGTCGACAACTTCACTTATCTTGGAAGTTTGATCAGCCCTAATAAGTTAGTGTCTGACGAAATCTCTGAGCAGATTTAAAAAGCTCGTTTGGATTTTGCCAACTTACGTCACCTATGGCGAAAACGAGATATCTGTCTATCAATTAAGGGACGAGTATACTGTGAAACAGTTCGTTCTGTTCTATTTTACGGCTGTGAAACGTGGCTATTAAGAGTAAGAGATACTCGTAAGTTACTAGTATTTGACCACAGATGCCTTAGAAATATTGCTCGCATCTGCTGGGATCACCGGGTAAGTAATTGTGAAGTTAGACTTAGGGTTTTAGGAAATGAGGGTGAATCAGTTGATGAGGTGATGAATCTTCATCCAGTGAGATGGTTGGGTCACGTGTTACGTATGTCTGAACACCAATTACTACGACGTGCAATGCTGACTAGTGTTGGTGGTGGCTGGAAGAGAGTTAGGGGCGGCCAAGCGGAAACGTGGTATCAGTCTTTGAAGTCACTTACTTCTAGTCTGAGCCATGTTGGTAGATGCAGACTGTTTGGTTTAGGTCCATGTGATTATCGTAATCAATGGTTGGAGACTCTAGGTGACATGGCTCAGAATCGATCACAATGGCGTAGGTGTATACACTCTTTGTCTTCCCTTAAACCGTGAGATTAAAATTGTTTCATATGTGTCTTTCTTAAATTACATCTATTTATCTTTTACTCTAAAAGGGAATTGTATAGTAATTGAAGTGTTTTAATAGTGCATAACTATTATTATTTTCTAAAACATTTTAGTGGTTAAGCGCTCGCGCGCTAAACCAATAGGTCCTGGGTTCGAATCTCGCGAGGCTGAATCGTAGGGGCACTGCTGAGGAGTCCCATAATAGGACGAAACGGCCGTCCAGTGCTTCCAGGTTTTCCATGGTGGTCTAGCATCAATTGATTCACGATCTCAACTATCAAAATATATAAACAGTTACATATAATTACAAATTTCTTTATTCCACTGTAAATATATTTTCCACTTTATTTTTTTTCTTTTATAGTGATGTATTAATTGTTGAAACTAAAGAAGGTGTACCAGAGAAAGTATCTGAATTAACGATTACATTTATTGGTGTTAATCATATTGAAGTGTCATGGATTAAGCCAATGATAATAAATGGAAATTTAATATCATATGATTTAGAAATATATTTAAGTTAGTTGAATTCTTTATAGTTGCCTGGTTTTCCCTTCTCTTTTATTCAATTTTAAAGAAACTAATCTTATTAATGGTATCTAAGGTAGGGAGAGTCCGCTCTCCCTCTTGGAATACTCTCAAACGGCCACGCGTATACAGCCTCCGACAGAGAAGTTTTACGCACTGCCTTTTCGCACCATGGGTGTTGTTTACGAAATTGAGAGGATGAAAAGCGAATGTCCGGCGCTTTAACCGGGTTGCTGGACATGGAAAGTTTACCTAGGGGAGTTGAAAACTCTGATTCGAAACCAATAGTAAATATGGTCTCCAGGATTCTGAGGGAACGAATAGTGTATGAACAAATCGTTGGTCACTGGCTACTATGGAACTCCATCTCCTCACGATGCTCCACCACCTTGTGGATCAGATCTTTAGGTTGAAGTGTCCAGGTGTGGCCCCTTAAGAAACCACCTGCTTCAGTTTGGGCACCTGGGCAGTATCACAGCCGTTACACAATTCAAATGAGATTTGTGAGGCGCATATTTATCTGGTGCTCCTTTGTACCGATATTTATGTGTTTAAATAAATAATAACATATAAACACTGATACAAGAAGGAACCAAAATATACATGCCGTAAATTGTGTTATTCCATTCGGGTGAGGGATGGAATACCTCCTGGGCGCCAAAATCAAAACATGTGGTTTCCTTAAGATGTCATACCCTGAGTTTTTAACCTACAGGTCTAATCCATAAAGCAATGGATCAACTTGTGGTGATGCAGTTCCATAGTAGTCGGTGACCAACAATAGGTTCATACACCATTTGTTTCTTTAGGATACTGGAGACTATGTACACCATTGGTTTGTAATCAGAGTTTTCCATTTCCTCCAGGTGGATCTTCTGTATTGACCAACCCGGTTCAATCGTAGGACACTCGGTTTTCGTCCTCTCGATTTCGTAAACAACACCCCAGTGGCGAGAATCTAGCGAGTAAGACTTCCCTGTGAGTGGCCATATGAGGTCATTTGGAGAGGAAGAGTTGACTTTCCCCGCTTTCAGTCGAGGGCTTAATCTTAAAGTTTATCTTCAAAGTATTGTTTGAATGAATCAGCTTTCAAAAAATCAAGCGATTCAAATTTGAAATAGTCTTAGTAAAATTTAATGGTTTGCTTTATAAAAGACATACACTGAAACGACAAATCGATCAGAATTCGACAACCACTGAAAAAAGTTGAAAGCACTGTACGACTGTTTTGATCCTTAAAGAAAAATCATCTCACAATTGAATGTAAATACATCTTGTATATAATAATAAAAATAATGTGAAAACAGTTTGAAACGTAATCACTGTGGATAATAAGCTAATATTACTAGAGTAAGTTTAAGGTGTTTTTGAATGCACAGAAATGGGTTTGAATTTTTGTTTGGCTGAGGCTTCAATAAACCTTAGTATATACCCTTTTACACTTTTATACAACATCACAAAAGCCGAGTTAAGATCAATCTTATGACGTGTTTCGATTATATGTTTGGCAATAGAGGATGATGTATGTTGAGATAAGATGGTGGTTGTAGGTGGTCAACAGGAAACCTTGGACCCGAGTTTCGTGCTACTTGGCACTCGTTAGCAAGGTGTACCTGTAATCTTGAGGGGACTGGTGCTCCTGACGAATTCGATCTTGTGTCACTCAGCTTCACAGTCAGAGACGTTACCCCTGAGCTACTCGGGCCGCGATAATTTCGTTCCTGTTCAACGTATTCTTATTTCGGGGTCTTGTCGAGTGTTATTGTATAGGAATACTAAGCAATAAGAGTAGCCAGGTCGTTTATTAGTGAAAACAATTATAGCAGTTTCAATAAAAGGCTATTCGAATCACCTTTAAATAGTAAAGTGATGTAGACAGGATTTTTTTCCATTGAGACTACATTAAGTCTCTCTGTACCATGAACCTTCCATCTATTTATGAGTTTAGGTGAATAACCATTCCCCATTAATGTCTTGTTTAAAAACTTAACATCATCATCAATAGAGTCATTTGTGTAAATACAGATCAAGCCTATTAAATAGGCACCTTATCAAACCCCCTTTCTTTTTTTTTATAATTTCAGATAATTTTATGAATACAACGGAAATCTTTTCATTACATAATTCACAACTGATCACTTCTATAACCATTGAAGATCCAGAACAATGTGCAACACGTATATCAGGTTTAAAAATGAATACTCATTATTTATTATGTATATGGGCTAAAACATCAGTTGGACGTGGTGAACCGAATTTTGTTAATTTTCGTACAGCAACACTTAGTCATGGTAATTAAAGAATATTCCTATATTTTAATAGTTGAGGTTATGAATCAATTGAAGCTAGATCATCATAGAAAACCTGGAGGCGTTGGACGGTCGTTTCGTCCTATTATGGGACTCCTCAGCGGTACGTATCCACGATCCCACCTCGTGAGAGTCGAACCCAGGACGTATCCACAAAACCCTTCCTGATAATAATCATCGTATGCTCACTAGTGACTGGCATTAAGAGGTAATTCCTGGAGTTCTAGTGAGAAGCAGTGACCAGTGGAGTTCCACCAGGTCTGTTGTGAAATAGTAAATCACTGAAGACAATGGTGGATTTGTCGCGCAATTCCGTTGATCGGTTGAAGTAAGACATTAACACCGTTGGATGCCAGCCGGTTCTGTGGTCTAGAGGTTAAGCATTCTCGTGCGTGACCGACAGATCCTGGTTTCAAATCTCGCGAGGTAGGATTGTGGATGCGCACTGCTGAGGAGTCCCGCAGTAGAACGAAACGGTCGTGAAGTGCTTCCAAGTTTTCCACGGTGATCTAGCTTCAATTAACTCATGATCTCAACTATTAGGATTACTATATTATCCACAAAAACCCCTTCTGATAATATTTATTTTGTTTGAAATTTATGATTAAAAATATTCATTTTTAAAGGTTTGATCACTTGAAAGTCAAATCATATGTATAAATTACTTCATAGTCATGAAGTATATATTAAGTAAGAATGTTAAATGTTGGATATAAACGGTTAGTATTAATGATTAAATAATCAGTAGATACTTAAATTTAGTCTTAGTATATTGTGTGCTACTGATGTTGACAGATATAAGTAGTATATATCATCAAAAGATATTGAAATGCCTATTGGCTGAAGGTTAGGTAGATCGAAGAAAAGAGAATGAGAACAGAGGATAATTAGTGTGGAAACGAAAGAACAACAAAGTTTGAGACAATTGATTGACGGTGGAGGTGGAACACCTCCAACCACCATCTTATCTCAACATAGTGCACGCAGTCTTGAGTTCTAATGAAAAGCCTTGACCAGTAGAATCCAAACCATGTTAGATATTAGACAGTTATCCACCTCAGACAATGGAAGATAGTCGCGCGATTTTGTGGATTGGTTGAAGTTAGACATTAACACTGTTGGATGTTGGTTCAGTGGTCGAGAGACTAAACGTTCACGCACGAGACTTCTGGGTCACACGTGTTGAATCACGAATACGCACTGCTGCAGAGTCCTATAAAAGGACGAAACTGCTTTCCAGTACTTCCAGATTTTCAATGGTTTTCTAGTTTAGATGAACTTATGAATTCAACTCATAAAATTATTACAATCTTCACAAATCCACATTCTAATAAGCTTATTATCGTTAAACATTTGTTTTTACAGATTATGGTTATATCCCTTTTACAATCAGTTCCATTCAAGATCATGTGAATTCAATAAATTTAACATTGAAAACATCTTTCTCTTCATTAAACAATGATTTAAGCAAATCAGACATGGTTAATGATAGTACAGATCCTTCTACTACTTTTTCTGCTTCGACTTCTTCTTCGCCAACTCTATTCACAACTGAACAAAGTACTAACATCTCTAATATAAACAATATTGAACAGATTGAGAAATTGAATCATCAATTTATGTTTTATGTACAATTTCGTCAATTAGGTACAGAGATATGGGAAGAAACTCAAAGAGAATTACATAATTCATGGATTGTTTTAAACAATTTAAATAAAGGTATTATTTTATTGATTGATTTGTTTGTCTGTTATAAGTGTCCTACTCACTGCCTTCTCGTGGAGGAGTGTCTGGCGCTGTAACCGGGTTGGTGGACACGGAAAGTCCAACCAGGGGAGTTGGAAAACCCTGATTCAATACCAATGGTGCACATGAGCTCAAGTATCCTTAGGGAACAAATGGCGTATGAATCAATCATTGTTAACCGGCTACAATGGGACTGCATCTCCTTACGATGCTCCACTGCATTGTGGATCAGACCTTAAAGTCAAAGGCTCCGGGTGTGGCCCTCTATGAAAACCACCTGCTTCAGTTTGGGCACCTGAACAGTATCACAGGCCTAACACAAATCAAATGAGATTTGTTTGGCTTATATAAATTCGGTGCCCCTTTGTACCAATATTTATGTGTTCAAATAAATAAATATAAGTGTAAATAAAAATAAGATGATTGGAAACAAGTTGGAGGAAGTGTTTTTTTAATGAAGTTTTTGTTGTCTGAGCTGGATGGTTTAGTCGTGGAGTTTGTCATCGTACATCCAAAATAAACAATGACAGATTTAAGGTCAACAAGAACCAATCAACATCGAGGTGTACAGGACAAACTGTGAACCACATGTGGAGAAGTTCAGAAGGCCCAGAATTGAAGTAGGTCTATTTGTGTTGATAAAATCGTGTCATCATCGGTGACTTATTTTGAGAGGCAATTCTCAAAATTTTAATGAAATGCCATGATCAGCGAAGTTCAATAATTTCCATAGTGAATTAGCTATTCGCCAATCTTGTTAGATGACAGCTCAATATCCGAAAATGTTTAAATCTTGAAATTTTTTAAACCATTTGACACTGACACAGTCGTCTAAATATTATGCACTCTCCATGAGACTATAAGACCTTGAGTCTAATCCCTGGTGGGGTTGTGAATAGGTAGTGGTGATTAGATATATACTAAGATAAAATAAATGTCTAATACTTCGTCATCTTTAATAACTGTCTAATCAAAGTCAGACCATGATATAATGTAGAAAATCTAGTCCATAAATTCTCTCGTACGGTAGAGAGTGAGGAGAGTCAGCTCTCCCTTTCAAAATGCTCCCACATGGGCATGTGTATACATCCATTGAAAAATGGAAGTCTTACTCACTACATTCTTAGCACTGGGGTGTTGCTTACGAAATCGAGAGGACCAAAAGTTAGTGTCTGATGCTTTAACTGGTTTGGTGGATAAGGATGATTCACCTAGATGAATTACAAAACTCTGATTCTAAACTAGTGGTGTATATGGGTTATAAGATTATGAGGAAATAAATGTTGTATGAACCGATTGTTGGTTACCGACCACCATGGAACTGCATCTCGATCCACTGCCTTATGGATTACACCTGTAGGTGAAAGGCTCATGGTGTAGCCACCACCTATTTCTGTCTTAGCACCCGGGAATTATCACGACCACCCACACAAAAATCAAATAATTTGTATGTCGCATATGTATTCGGTGCCCCTTTTATATCAATATTTATATTTTAAAGTAAATAAATAACAGATTTAAGGTCAACAAGAATTAATCAACATCGAGGTGTACAGGACACGCTATGAACCACATGTGGAGAAATTCAAACTCTTCACTTCTACCCGAAATTTGTGCTGCTGATGATGTCGTTCAGAAGGACGATGAAATCTCCACGACTAAATCATTCAGGTCAGAGAACAAATCAACATCAAAATAAATAATCCACACAGTTATGATTCAATCTTAAACTTCAAATTCATATAAATGAAAATGATCTATTGAGTTAATGTTATTTTCTTGTTAGTTTCTTTCTTTAAACTGTCATTTCAATAGTTGAGATCATGAGTCAATTAAAGCTAGAGTTCCATGAAAAACTTGAAAAAACTGGACGGTCACTTCGTCTTATTACAGAACTCCTCAGCAGTACACATTTATCATTTCAATTCTTAAAATTACTATAATATCCACAAACCTCACCCCCTTCCCCCCCCCAACCCTTTTTTTTCCTAATATTTAAACAATATCATTCTTTCATTTTGTTTTTCTCTCTCTCTTATTTAGATTCACAATATGAAATCAGAATTGTATATATTCCTAATAATGGTCAATCAATTGTTAGTCATACAAGAATTATCCATATCCCAATCAATAATCAATATACAATAATCAATAATCAATGGAAATTATTATTTAAAAATAATCAATATTTTATTATTATTATGATTTTATGTTGTTTATTTTTATTAATTAGTTTAATTAGTTGTAGTTGTTTACTTATTTATTATTGGTCAAAACATAAACAATCAATAAGATTAAAGAAAATATCTGATTCATTACATAATCGATATAATAATAATAATAATAATCATAATAATATTGATTATTTACATTCATTTCATTGTCAACAATTAAAACCCTATAATAATATACAATATGAGTTACCTATTGAACAACAACAACAACAATCACCACAGCAACAACTACCACCACCCTTATCACAGCAACAACAATCAATGGAACCATATCTAAATTGGAAAATCAATAATCAATTCTCATCAAATTATATAGATAATATAACTGATCATTCGATGATGATGTTGATGACGCCAACGTCGACGACAACAACAATGATGAATAATCGTAATGATGATTCAATATATCAATTCAATACATCATGTATATGTCAATACAATCATAATAATACTATAACAACTACTAATAATACTACTGATTTATTAAATCAATCATTAATAACAACTTGTAATTCACCTTTTATAAATAATAATTGTATAACATTTTTAAAATTACCACAATCACAAACAAATTCATTTACGGAAGACAATTTTTTTAATTCATTAATTAATATAGATACTACTTATAATACTACTTATACTACTACTATTACCAATACTACTACTACTACTAATACTACTAATAACAGTAATAATAATACTGAAAGTAATCAACATACATATATAAGTAGTTTATTAAGTAGAGTATGAATGTTCATTATAAACATCTTTATAGGGTGAATAGTATAATTTTTTTTAAATTATTTTTTACAATTTTTATATATAAGTAGTATATTAAGATTTCAATTTTTTTTTAAAAAAATTGTACAATGAAAATAATACATTTTTAATATTACATAAATGATATTGTGTGTCTTTTGATTTGAAGAATTGAATGAATAGAATCCTAGAGTGAATGAACATTAACTGTGTGATGAAGGTATATCCAGCTGATGAGTCTTAAACAGAACAAAACGTACGTCCTAGATTCCACTTCTAATTACTATCCATCTTTTCTTGAGAAAATTATTCGTTGACAGTTTTGATTTATATCATGAATGAATGAATGAATAAATGTTAGAGTATCATTGAAAACTTGGAAGTACTGGATGATCGTTTTGTTCTAGTATGGGACTATTCAACAGTGCACATCAACGATCCTGTAGATGAAACTTAAACTTAAAACTTTTGGTCTTGCTTGTGAAGTAGTTACTTACTGAAGACAACGTTAGCCCTCGAATGCCTTGGTATGGCGGAGAGTGAAGAGAGTTCGCCCTCCCTTTCGAAATACTCTCACATGGCCACGCGTATATAGCTTCTGCCTCTGTCTTTCGAAGTCTTTATGACTGAGTTAATATTATAATATAACATCCTACCAGTAGATAATGTGTTTACTCGACTCAATTTTCCGTTGATAGTCTACCGTCAAGTTATAGTTCCCATACCCTGTAACAAATGCAAGGTGATTACAATATCCCAGCAGTCAATACTATGAACTGTCTATTATATCTTAGTGAAGGCATGAGTACGGGAAACAGTTATTGGTAATAGCTGATGCTTTCTTCAAGTGGCCAGAATTCCAATACAAAAAGTTCGTCTCGAAAAAAGCTACTGTGGAAAAACTGAGACAAGTATTCAGCTGCTTTGGGTGTCTAGATATATTAGTGTCGGATAATGGACCACAACTTACCTATGCTGAATTTTCAAGATTCTGCATTGCCAATGCTGTTAGGCATATCATGACACCCCCAAACCATCAACAATCTAACGGTTTAGTATAGAGTTTCGTGAACACGTTTAAAAGAGCATTGTTTAAAGCCGAAGAAGAAGGAGAAATAGAAGATATAATTCAATGATTTTTACTAACCTGCCGTACAACACCTAACCCAGCAACAAATAATCAAGAAAGTCCGGCAGAAGTAATTTTTAGAAGAAATATTACAATACGTATAGAACAAAGGAAACCAAAACCTAGAACCAGTCTCCTCAAAAATAAACGAATGGAACGGCAATTCAACAAGCGAAATGGTGCATCACCCAGAAGGTACAGTGTGTGACAAGCGGTAATATCAAGAGATTTTTAGAGAGTAAAGCCAACTTGAAAGTTTGATATCATAGGTCAAAATAAAGCTGATAATAAGATGAATATATATCGACTAAATCTAGTCTCAGTATACAGAATAACAGTTTTTTTAATAGGTCCCGGCAGTTACCCTTACTTATGTCTTCACTGGGATATAAAACTATCTTCCTAATAATAATTATCACCTAGCGTAGTTCACCACGAACTACACGACTGTAGCAAATTCAAAATGGTAGTTATAAGTAGTTATACTTTGAACTGTATTTTAGAAGTAAAAATGACTGACAAGGAATAATTTAAAAAATATAAGTTCATACAAAGTCACTATTTTCAGAGTTCTTTAATGATCAAATAATTAATTGAAAGTATGTAAACATTCTGTTTAGTATCAGTTACAACCATGTATTAGATGTGATCTTTGCCAATGTAGAGCTACTTCAGTATGAGCATATGAGAAAACATAAATAATAACTGATTTGTCAAACAACGTTTCTCATGATGAAACACGTTTAAAAAGAGGATTGATTCTGACATTGAAGTAATAAGAAGGCAACTTTTAAATCGATCTATTGAAACTTATTTATCCTAATCTGGGCTTCAGGAAGTTATCTTCAACGAAAAGCCTACTATATAATTACTTATCAATAGACGTAACATTTCGACTCGGATTTAAAATATTTTTTTGACATAAACCATGTTTTTAAATATTAAGTTAACTACTAATTACTAATTAAGTAGGCAAATTGTTTATGCTAAAATAGTAGACACTTGACTACCTACTTTATGTAAGCCATACTCGAATACCTTTCCTTATTACATAAATAATTAAGTATGCATTAAATACGGTCAATACAGTGCTAATATCTAGTTAAAGATACAACTGTTTAACAAGAAATAAACTCATATTGAAATAATAGTTTACCTCATTACTATATTATTTCATTCTTATCCATGTTAGAAAGTGTCCCCATAAGAGTAAAGGGCAATAATCATAAGTTTTCATTCGTATATTATGTTTTGATTAAAATGTATGAAGGAACGTTAGTTGTCATAAAAAGTAAAGCTATTTTATACCGTTAAGTGTACTGACAAAAAAACATTTTCAGTAATATATATGTAAAATTTTCTTTTAATCCTAGGCTTGATCATTATTTATTATTGGTACAAGGAAGCACCAGATAAATATACGCATCACAAATCTCATTTAATTTGTGTGAGAGCTGTGATACTGAATGTCTAGACTGAAGCAGGTAGTTTTCTAAGAAGGCCATACCCGGAGCCTTTGACCTGAAGATCTAGTCCACAAGTCAGTAGAGCATCGTGAGGAGATGCAGTCCCATGGTAGCCAGTCACTAACAATTGATTCATACGCCATTTGTTTCCTCAGGATACTGGAGCCAATGTACACCATTGGTTTAGAATGAAGGTTTTCCAACTCCCCTAGGTGGACTTTCTCTGTCCACTAACCCGGTAAATGCGCCGGACATTCGCTTTTCGTCCTCTCAATTTCGTAAACAATACCCGTGGTGCGAGAAGTCAGTGAGTAGGATTTCCCTGGTAGAGGCTATATATTCGCGTGACCATGTGAGAGTATTTCGAGAGGGAGAGATGACTCTCCCTACTCTCGGCCGTACCAGGGCATTTGAGGGCTGGCTTGATCTACAAAAGCCTACTAACTATCAGCTAATGAATATGTTGAATCTATGCATTAAACTGGATACTGACTGATAGTGGAATTGATAATCAAAGTTTTATCTTATTTCGTACTCTTCAAATGAAAGTATTCATACATTACTTTGTTGTTATTCTATTGTTTATGGTTTAGGTTTAAAGCAAAAGTTGTTTAATTCGAGTCACATTATTTACAATTAAAACTAAGAAGTAGATACATCTGACTTAATACTTCAGCCCTCAAATGCTTTGGTAAGACCGATCGTAGGGACAGTTAACTCTCCCTCTCAAAATGATCTCACATGACTAGAAGTATAAAACCACTGAAAGGGAAGTCCTACTCAATACCTTCCCGTCAATTGGGTGTTGTTTACGAAATTGAGAGGATGAAAAGTGAATTTCCTACGCTTTAACCGAGTTGGTCGATACAGAAGATCCACCTAGAGGAGTTGGAAAACCTTGATTCTAAACTAATGGTGTACATGGGTTATAGGATCTTAAGGAAAAAAAGTTGTATGATCCTATTGTTAGTCACTGACTACTATGGAACTGCATCTCCACAAGTTGTTCAACTACCTTATGGATTAAACCTTTAGATCGAAGTCTCCAGGTATGATCCTTGAAGAAAACCATCTGCTTCGGTCATGGCACCCGAACAGTATCATACCCCACATACAACTCAAGTGACATGTATAGCGCAAATCTATTTAATGCTTCCTCGTACAAATATTTGTATATTGAAATAAATACAACATAAAACATGCTCTATTTCGTAATAACTTAACTTCATTAATACAAAAACAGTTACTGTTCATTTCATATTGGCAATTACTTAACTACTACTATTACTACTACTACTACTACTGCTACTACTACTACTACTACTACCACTACTACTACTACTACTACTACTACTACTACGACTACCACTACTACTACTACTACTACTACTGCTACTACTACTACTACTGCTACTACTACTACTACTACTACTACTACTACTACCACTACTACTACTACTACTACGACTACCACTACTACTACTACTACTACTACTACTGCTACTACTACTACTACCACTACTACTACTACTACTACTACTACTACTACTACTACTACTGCTACTACTACTACTACCACTACTACTACTACTACTACTACTACTACTACTACAATTCAGTCGTCAATTTTGAAAAACAATTTTTCTTTTTCTTTTATATTTTATTATCATGAATTAACATGCATAATATTAGAAGGTGTCTATGTTGAGAAGAAGGAAAAAACAAGTGGCTTATATTCAAGTTGATCCATAAAAAAAAACCATAACAAGATTGAGCTTGATTTTTACTGTTAAACTTTTTTTTGAAAAAAAAAAAATATTTTCATGAATATGAGATTTATATAATTGTGCAATGCGTACTACTGATGTTGACAAATATAAGTAGTATATTTATTTATTAATTATTTAAACACATAAATATTGGTACAAGGAAGCACCAGATAAATATACGCATCACAAATTTCATTTGATTTGCGTGAGGGCAGTGATACTGAATGTCTAGACTGAAGCAGGTAGTTTTCTTAGGGGTCCACATCCCGAGCCTTCAACCTAAAGATCTGACCCACAAGTCATTAGAGCATCGTGAGGAGATGCAGTCCCATGGTAGCCAGTCACTAACAATAGGTTCATACGCCATTTGTTCTTTCGGGATACTGGAGCCGATGTACACCATTGGTTTGAAATCAGGGTTTTCCAACCCCCCTAGGTGGACCCTCCATGACCACCAATCCGGTCAAAGTCTCGAACATTCGCTTTTCGTCCTCTCAATTTCGTAAACAATACCCGTGGTGCGAGAAGTCAGTGAGTAGGATTTCCCTGGTAGAGGCTATATATTCGCGTGACCATGTGAGAGCATTTGGAGAGGGAAAGTGGACTCTCCTCACTCTCGGCCGTACCAGGGCATTTGGGGGAAGTAATATATATATTTCATCAATCGAAAGTGGAATGACTGAAGGCAGAACGTGAAGAAGATCGAAAAAAAGAGAATAAGAATGTTATATCCGGGAACGGAATTATGAATGATAACTGTTGGGATCCATTTGTGGACAAATATGATACATTTATAATTATTGTATAATTGTTAACTAAATAAGCTAGTTAAGTGATGAACGCTTTTAATCTCCTTTACGATTTACTATAAATAAATGGAGTCACCGGCTATGATAGTTAGTTAATAACTATTTCAGATCATCGCCTATCTTTCATTGTTACTTATGTATTAACGCCTGTCACCCCTCGTGGAGGAGCATAGGCCACACACCAACATTCTCCATCCAACTCTGTCCTGAGCAATTCTTTTCCAGTTTCTTCCAGTTAACATTCATCCCGTTCATATGTGCTTCTATTTCCCCGTGTAATGTGTTGTTTGACCTTCCTCTTTAACGCTTCACTTTCAGATTCCAAGTTAGCATTTGCCTCGTGATGCAGTTTGTTGATTTCTTCACTGTATGTCCTATCCACTTCTAACGTCTCTTCCTAATTTCCTCTTCAACTGGAAGCTGGTTTGTCCTCTCCCATAAAACTCTGTTGCTGATAGTATCCAGTCAGAGAATGTTGAGTATTTTGAGTAAATAACTGTTTATAAATACTTGTACCTTCTTGACGATGGATGTAGTAGTTGTCCACGTTTCATCTCCATACAGTATGACTGTCTTGACGTTCGTATTGAAGATTCTCACTTTGAAGTTAGTTGACAGTTGTTTTGAGTTCCATATGTTCTTCAATTGTAGAAGTGCGTTGCTTGCTTTGCCAATCCTAGCCTTATATTTCATTGTGAGTCATCACTATTAACATTATAAACTGTTTTCAGTATGGTCTCCTAATAACAATACATTATAGGTTAAAAGTTACAAGTAAATGATAATTTGTAGTTGGTATTCCTCATGGACTGAATTCAGCTGGGAATACTGTTAAAACTGGATAGAACTGGACAGGTATACAACTCCTCAACTGTATGGACTCATAACTTTACTGCTGATGGAATTTATGGCATTCGATTCCCATGATGGACAAATAGTGATCTAACCGATTCATTGTTATTCAACGGTAGACACTTTTATGTTCATGATTGTTAAATATCATTAGAGATAACTGTTTCACCATCCATCCATGTTTGCTTATAAAGATTGTTACTTCAAGCAATATCGATGTAGTCTGCACAGGATTCACATATACCAACAAAAGACTGATTAATTGTAATCGTAAATAAAAATAGGAAAATTCAAACAAACAACACTAAGTGAATTTAAACTTTACCATATTGTACAAGCAAGTGGCTATCAGGACTTAGTAGCTGAGTGGATAGCGCGATGGCGTTTGAACCGAAAGTTACTGGATTTGAGTGTCTCAGAGTGAATATCAACTCTGAGATGCAGGTACATCCAGCTGACGAGCCCCAAATAGAACGAAACGCGCGTTCTGAATTTTTAATGCTAGACACTATCCATCTTCGCTTATAAAGCTTATGACTTTAGGCAATATCGAGGCAGACCTCACAGGATGTATATATTTCAACAAGAGACTGATCAACTGCAGTCCTAATTAACAATGAGAAGATACAAGTAAACAACACAAAGATTTATTTAGTTTGTTTATATTGAATATGATTGTAAGCAAAATATCAAACAAATAGAGTAATAAACTTGTTTACTAGTGTTTACCATGATATCCTTTTCATTAATTATGTAATCATCTATTGAAGAGTTTATCATTTCTGATAGTCCATTAGAACTTTTTCTTTCTTCCTATTTTATTGTGACCAGTTTTATTGGTATGTCTATACTTTGGTGGAATCGTCTCTTCAGATTCACCAAGTTTATTTATCTTCTTAGGTATTATCTTTTCTTGATCATAACTCTTAACAACACTTGTAGAGTTTCTAGCATCATTATCATCATCATCATCATCGTTATCGCCATGATCATCAGTACCATCATCGTCATGATCATCATCATCATCATGATGTTTTGTTGAATTCTTTGATGAAATAGTAGTTTTTGATCCTTGAGTTATTGACGTAGTTGTGGTTACTTCTGTTTCATTTGATGATGATGATGTAGACTTGGTTACTTCAGCTTCACTTGATAATGACTTAGTCGTGGTTACTTCAGCTTCATTTGATAATGACGTAGACTTGGTTACTTCAGCTTCATTTGATAATGACGTAGTTGTGGTTACTTCAGCTTCATTTGGTAATGACATAGTCGTGGTTATTTCTGTTTCATTGGATAATGAGTAAATTACATCAAGATATAGAAGTACAATCAATAAGAACATATAGAAGAATGATTGAATTCTAAGATTCATGATTATGATACGAATGATGAAAATGCACTAATGGTTTACATATATATATATATGTATATGTATACCTGGTTCTATTGAATACAATGTACTTTGACAGATCAACGATTGAATAAGTCGTTTTCTGGAACATTCAAATAAGTAATTGACATATGATTTTCTGTCATTATGTCATTTATATTATAGGTTAGTTTATAAAATGGGATAGGACATATATCATATGTGTCATATAAGTCAAGTGCTAATTTAGAATTGGAAACAAGGAAGGTCAAATAAAAACACATTACGTCAGGAATTGTAAGCAGATATGAAAATGATGAATAGTAACTGCGAGCAACTGGAAAGGATTGTCCAAGACAGATTTTGATGGAGAATGCTGATGGTCGGCTGATGCTCCTTCATGAGGAGTAACAGGAGTAAGTAACGTAAATGTAAACATTATGGTTTATAAAACACTTTCATGGTTTAATAAATATGTATAGTGTAATGAGAATGGGATAGGACATATATCATATGTGTTATATAAGTCAAGTGCTAATTTGGAATGTTGAAGGGAAACAAAAAAAGGTAAAAAAAAATACATTGCGTCTGGAATTGGGAGCAGACATGAAAGTGATGAAAAATAACTGGGATCAACTAGAAAGGATTGTCCAAGACAAAGTTGGATGAAGAAATTTGGTTGTCGGCCTATGCTCCTTCATGAGGGGTAACAGATGTCAGACAGTTATATGATTGTTTCATGATATTTGAATAATTCACTTCTTCACGACATCCTAATTTTAACACGATATAGATGATTTATAGCTTAGTTAGATGTTCTTCATGGTATTAAATTCCTTGAAGTGAAAGGTGGACAGATGGATTCTTGGAATTTCAGATATCTAAGTGAATAACTTGAGATATATTCGACTTGACTCAAATAAGAAATGTACACTTCATTACTTTTTTTGATTCATATATTTATGAACTGTATGGCATAACTATGCTATTTCAACATACATTATTCCAAGTTCATACATTATAATTATCACTATCGAGGATTGGAATGTTCCTTTTAAATGAATTGAGCCTAGATGAAAATTAGTATAGAAGAGTTTGTGGAAATTGTTGAACTTACAAGTTTGTATTGTAGATTAGCTGAAGTTAGATAGCCATTGAAAAATAAGAAGTACTGGATATCTATTTATTGCTAATATGAAACTCTCCAGAAATGAACATACTTGAGAACATTCAGGCCTCAGGATAAGAAGAAGCTCTGAAAGAGGTGGAGAACTTTGTATACCTGGGCAGCATCATCGGTAAACAAGGAGGATTTGGTGCACATGTATAGGCGAGAATTGACAAAGCAACAACAGAATTCCTATAGTTGAAGAATATAGGGAACTCAAAACAACTGTCTGTCAACCAATATCAAAGTCACAATCTTTAATACGAATGTGAAGACAGTTCTACTTTATAGAGCTGAAAATTGGAAACCTACTACATCCATTATCAAAAATGTTCGAGTATTTATAAACAATTGTCTACTCAAGATATTCAATGTCTGTTGAATGGATACCATCAACTACACCTTACTACGGAAGAGAACTAAGCCGCTTCCACCTGAAAGATGAAATCAGGAAGTAGATAGGACATACATTAAGGATATCACTAAACTACACCACGAGGCAAGTGCTAACTTTGAATCCTGAAGGGAAACAGAAAAAAGGAAGGCTAAAGAATACTGTGTTGAGAATCATAGGCAGAGATCAAAATGATCAATATCAATTGCAAACAACTAGAAAATATTTTCCAGAGCAGAGATGATTAGAGAAGTCGCAGACTTAAATAAGTAAGTTTGAGTGCCTAAATTTCAGACCATCCAGTCGGTACTAAACAATTTGCATTTGTATATTCAGTTCGGGCTCATTATTCATTATAATACATTTGAAGCATTCAAATGAGAAGAAAATTTGATGAGATCATAATTTACAGACGTCCTTCGAGGGACGCTGAAGTGACCTTGAGAATGGAGGGTTATAAACCAGTTACAATCATAATTTACAGTTGATGGTTAAGATTAGAAATTAGATTTAAGATTTTCATCACGAATTGACATAAGCTAAAATGCCAAAACTCTATTCACAAGGGGGTTTCGTGAAGATTTCAGTAATTTTTTATATAGTTAAGATCATGAATCAATTGAAGCTAGACCACCATGGAAAACTTAGAAGCACTGGATTATTTGTGGTTAGGCATTAACACCACTGGATTCCAGATCATTGGTTTGTCAGTTAAGTGCTCTGGCGCGAGACTGGTAGGTCTTGGGTCCGAATCCCGGAGGCAGGGTAGTGGATGCGCACCGTTGAGTAGTACCACAATAAGAGGGAACGGCCGTTCAGTGCTTCCAGGTTTACCTTGGTGGTCTAGCTTCAATTCACTCATGAACTTAACTATATAGAAAACTCTATTCAGTCAAATGTAGGAATGAATTTCGTGCCATAATTTAAGACTTGTTATCTTGTATTTGATTGGTTCGTCCTTAAATCATAGTCTTGCCAAATATTTGAATGTTCAACATTTCGTAACTTATTACATGTTCATAGAATAAAGAACATTACCAAGGTAACATACATTTTCAGACAGATGTTTCTTGTACCACGAAAAAGAAGGAATAATTCAAAAACTTAAATTTTTTCATTCAGTGTATGTTACATTGACGCTCTAAATAATACTTATTTACTCACTTACGCCTGTTAACCCTCGTGGAGGAGCATAGGCAGCAAACCAGTTTTCTTCATCTAACCCTGTCCTGAGCAACCCTTCCCAGTTGCCATTCATCCTTTTCATATCTGCTTCTATTTCCCGATGTAATATGTTCTTTGGCTTCCCTCTTTTTCGCTTTTCTTCAGAATTCCAAGTTAGGGCTTGCCTCGCGATGTAGTTTGAGGATTTCCTTAATGTATATCCGATCCACTTCTAACGTCTTTTCTTGATTTCATGTCTCAGATGGAAGCTGGATTTTTCTCACCCATAGTAGGGTGCTGCTGATGTTATTCGGCCTGTGAACGTTGAGTATTTTGCGTTCTAAATAATAAGCATCTGTTTAATCCCTTTCTTTCTTAATTTTTTTCAGAAAATCTTTTCTAATACATAGAATAAATGAAATATGGAAATTAGCATATTCCAGGAAGTTTATTTCATTCCATTTGACATTCATTGGCTGTGTCGCTCAATTTCGTGGATCGGTTGAAGTTAGACATTAACACCGTTGGATGTCGTGCATCTCAGCGGTCTAGTGGTTAAGCTTTTTCGCTTGAGACCAATAAGTTCTGTGTTCTAATAGCACGAGGCTGGATCGTGGATGTGTACTGCTGTGTAGTCCCATACTAGGACGAAACGGCAGCCCAGTGCTTCCAGGTTCTCCATGGTGGTCTAGCCTCGATTAGATTCTAATGTGACCACCAGTTCAAATCACTCAATATCACATGTACTATTTTGATATTTGATGGTTGAAGGTAGTATGTAAGAAACCTTAATTCAACCTAGTTTCAAGTTAGTTCATGCTCTTCAGTAAAATATATTCTAAGTTCTTGAGTGAACTAACACTTCCTGTGTCGTATATCGTTGTAACTTAGTTAAACTGAGTATTACGGCAAGACTATACTTTATGAACAAACCAATCAGATTTCAGATAACAGGTCTTAGATTTTGGCACGAAATTCATCCATCCTTTTAGTTAAGTAGCATTTTGGCATTATAGCTGATATGAATACATGGTAAAAAGCATAAATCTAATTCTTAACCCTGATCATCAATTATAAATCATGATCCTTATTCTTCAAACTTATTTATAACTGTCATGTAGTCGTCGTCAGTAGGTGGATATTCTCAATTTCACTGCTGAGGAGTCCCACAATAGGACGAAACGGTCGTCCTATGCTTCCAGATTTTCCATGGTGGTCTAGCTTCAATTGACTTATGATTTCAATTATGAAAGTACTTAAATTACTTATTTCCTTTCTTTGTTACAGCTTACCTTTAATCTGCCTAATTGACCTTTTAATTTTCATAGAAAAATGTTTTAACAAATCAGAAAGGGTTTTTTCTTGTGTAAAGATTTTAGTAATTTTATATTTGAATTCATAAGTCAATTGAAGTTAGACCATCATGAAAAACCTGGAAACATTGGATGGCTGTTTCGTCTTAGTATGAGACTCTTCGGCATTACGTATACACGATCCAACCTCACGCTATTCAAACAAACCACTTATCGGTCTCAAACAGGAACGTTTCACCTTTAGACCATTGATCTAGCCAGCATCCAACAGTGTGAATGTCTAACTTCAACCAATCCAACTATAATAACTTCCTGTAAGACTATTCACATGATCAGATACTTATTCTGTATTAAATTATACTACAAATTAAGTGTCTTATAGTCAACTTTCAAAGAGAGATCAAAACAAGGACACAAATCAGGCAGCAAGCATTAGTTCCTTAAAAATTACGCAAACATCTTACTTACAAATTGTTGTTTCGTCCTAATCTAAGACTCTTCAGCAGTGTACAATCGTAATTACTCAAAAAGACTAATCATTATATAATATATATTGATAAGAAAATAAGTAGTAATGATATATATACTTTAATATTTTCTTGAGATTAATATCAATGTTACAATGATATAAGTCATAATGCAAAGATTGGTAAATAATCCATTAGGTATATGTTTACTTGCTGAAGAACTTGATGGAGATTCATAATCGAATTTATTGATTAAATCACCAAATTCTTTTTCTAATAATTTAATTTCATTAATTGATTCTTGTAGAAGTGCTATTGGATCATTCAATGATGGATCTAGAAGGATTAGTGTAAGGAATAGAAATTACCATAGTCAGTTTGAATGGATACATCGTGTGTATCATGGTTTAAGTTAACAGGTTCCAATTCCGGTTCCGGTTCCGAGGAAATGAATTCAACAATCATACACAATACAAGTATCTTCCAAATCATGAACATTGAATTGATATTCCTTAGGTAAAGTACAAGTGATCAATCGAGATTTTACATTGAATATTCATTCTTTATTTATAGGCACCATCATGTACATGTTCATTTACACACACACACCCTTGAGTGAAACATGTCATTGGAATAACAATTGGATATCCATCTTGCCAACAAACAAGCAAACAAACATGTTACCATTCATCATCTTTTGTATATAAGATGTCAACTTTTAGTGCCTTTTTTATAGTGAAAACATGATTGAAAATCAAGTTGTAATGAGTAATTTTGGAATGAGAAATGTTGATTTCAGAGATTCTGTTGTATTCAGAAAACAGTTTTGTTGATGTAAGATAGATCAACATTGAAATCGTGTATGCGCACTTCTGAGGCGTTCAATGCTAGGATGAAACGTCAGTCCAGTGCTTCCAGGATTTTAATGATGATCCAGCTTCAATAGACTCATGGTTTGAAGCGAACGGTACTGGATTCGAGTCCCAGAGTGAACATCAAATCTTAAATGTATGTACATCCAGCTGACAAGTTCCAAAAGGACGAAACGTGAAACCTGGATTTTTAATGCTAGCCACTATCCATCTTTGCTTACAATGCTTGTGAATTAAGGTTATATTGAGGTAATATGCACAGTATGCACATATGGCCGATAACAGACTGATCAATTTCAGTCCTAAGTAACAATGGGAAGATACAAGTAGACGACACCAAGTGAATTACATTGCTCTATTATTTGTTATTCATAATTATGAATTCAGTGGATTTCTAGTTGTTCAATGTAAAGAAGATCTTCCTCATTCATTTATAATTTCTGTGAAAGATTGACAGAATCTATGACTGATGGAGTTCAACCACATTTGGAATGATTTGGTCATCGCAATCGGTATATAATGATGGTTGTGGTATATAACTGGAAAATGTGATTCATCAGCGCATGTAGTGAAACCTGCATGATATGGTTTCAACTTCTTGACCCGTCATAGATATACATTGATCAGCAGTATACACCTATATTGGAAAAACTTTGTGATATTCGGTGGTACTGTAGCGAATGATAACACAGGCGAGGGCAACTGACTACTTATTTGTCAAACAACTGCAAAGTTACTTGGTAAAATAGAAAAACTATGCTCTAATACATCATTTGCAAAATCTTCATTAATTGTCTCAGACTTCATTGTTCCTGCATTTCTATAACCATTGCTTTCTATTTCTGTTCTTCCCTTCTCAATCTTCTTAATCTTCTGCTGCCAGATATTCTATTCCTGACTCACGATATATATACTACTTATGTCAATATAACTCCGCCTGTAGCTCTTCCGGAGGCTACTGCCGGTCTCAAGCCCGGGTGAAGGAGTAGGGTTGGGTGACCCCATCCAACTCGCTAAAAAAACACTAACCAGAAAAAAATATTCAAACCATTTAAACTCTGCCCCGGGGAGTTGAAGGAATAATTATGACGTCTCATGATAAAAGCCGAGTTCTTTCGGAAGTCATGAGACCAATGCACATTCTAACTGTAATGCACCTTCTCTGTCAACATAAGTAAACCATCTCAAATTATCGATTTATTTACGAGTTGTCAAGTAATTCTAATGTGTAAATAACATTGGTTGCTTTTTATCCGTTCATGCATTATCTTTGTTTTCAATAAGCAACTACTCTTAATAGTTGTTTACATTAGAGAGAAAATGAAATCGAAATAACAATGATCATCCACCAGAATAACATAAACACAGGTTATTGATTCACATCAAATCTCGAGTGTAGTATTTGGTGTAACTGTGGTGTATGCTACTAATATTGACAGATATAAGTAGTATATATCATCAAGAGAAAGTGAAATACGTGGAGGCAGAAGGTGAAGAAGATCAAAGAAAAAAAAACGAGAACAGAGAATAGTTGGTGTGGAAACGAATGATGTCCTAGGCTATCGATTGTCGGACATTTTATCAATGAATTATTTACTGTGTATTTGTGTATTCAATCACATTCGATCGTCGCCACGTGTGTTCTCCTTCACTGTATAACATGTAAAGATACCTTATTAATCATCTACTGTATGTAAGGTCTTTAATAACTATTTGTTATTTGATTTTATTTGCCAAACATTTACTGATTCCTGGTCATGTAGGGGTTACGTATTAAGCGATACTAATATCATGGTGATTAAGGATGAAAATAATGCAATAACCTTACGGTAAGTTGATTTCAAAGCACTGTAGACCTAGTTAGTTGCACGGAAAACAGATTTCGTGATATTAGTTTTGTACAGGATGGGGTCGCTAACCCCATACCTAACCCTTCCCCTTTACTCCAGCTTGGGACCGACAATAACTCTAGAAGAGCTACAGGCTGGAAAAACTGGTTTGAGGCCTATGCTACTCCACGAGAGGTAACAGGAGTAAATAAAGTAAGTAAGTTATCATGTTCGATTGTGAAGTGTACAATATCCATGTTAATTCCTTGTCTGGAGCTTCAATTAATCAATAGCTTTATCATAATGATAATGGTGAAACCTTATGGTTATGTTATATTCAAGTTTGCAAACTTCGTTGATCTATCCAGCTCAAAGAACTCAACTACAACAATTCTATTCATTATATTTACAAATCTATTCTATTATTTCAAAGTTTTTAAGTAATAATCACTTTTGTGTTACCACTTTCAGCGATTAGTAAATATGGTTGAAGATGCTGCAAGTATTTGGAGTTTGACAACACCTTAACTTGTAACACTTTCTATAAATGGAACGTCCCAACTCTGTGAAATCATAAGTCAGAAGTGAAGAGATTCGAAGATATATTTGATAGGTTAACCATATATAAAGAGGTGACTGATCTTAACTGGTTTTCGATTGTAGAAGAAGTTGAGCAAAGCGTACCCACTCGTGATCTGGTGCGGCTACATTAACTGATGCCTTCAGTTAGGTGAATGCGTTAAACAACCCAATTCCATCGATATTTGAACAGATTATTACAAACTCACTACATAGGAATGTTCTACCAATCTCTTATCTAACATTTCACTTTCATTCGGTATAAATATCTTAGAAATATTTGACTGAAAATTTATTCAGATCATGAACCAACCAATGTTAGACCGCCATCGGAAATCTGCAAGCACTGGATGGCCGTTTCGTCCCAGCATAAGACTCTACAAAAGTGTCTATTCATGATCCCGTACATAAGCTTTCAACCCAAGACCTTCAGTCCTATGTGCAAACGCTTAACCTCCAGACCTCTGTGACGAGGCTATCATCCAGTGCTTCTACGTTTTCAATGATGGTCTAACATTGATGGGTTCATGATCTCAATTACAATTCAACAACTTCCACAACCTTATACTGATCAAAACTTCTTCTTTTCTGTATATAAAACTGACTACATCACTTAAAGTATGCACTAAACTTACAAATCCTCTCACACACTCAAAACAAATCCAGAACAGTGAAAGAGAGTTGTTGTTTATGTGAAGTCATGTAATCTTATATGAAGATACGAATCATTGGGGTGTTTAATATTTTCGATGTTAATGGGTTAAAAGGTACTCGACAGTTAACTATGTTGAACGTGGTTTTATAGTACTTGATTGTCATTATTAAATAATATTGAAGTTCACTTCTAAAGATCTTCATACAATGATGAAACAACTCTAAATTGCTTCAATGCTTTATTGGTTGTCAGCATTTGGTCTGTTTATGATATCCGTAACATTCAACTATCTCCAGAAACTCTATATTGATTATTGTTACATGAGGACTGGTAATTAGCTTAGGATCGGAAGCCCCCGAAGTTCTAATCTGAAGTCGTGACCATTGGAGTTCAACCATGTTGAGTATGAGGGAGTTAATCACTAACAGCTAACCGGTATTTAGTTATGAATACATTTTGATAATGAATAATTCTTATAGTATAAGTGGTAAATTTTACGGTAGCCTACGGTGATTCCTAATTAGGAACAAGTGAAATAAAATAGGTTCATTCGAGTCCCGGTGTGAAGGTCAACACTGAGGTGTAGATGCATCGAACTGATGCGTTTTAAATACTACAAAACAAGCGTTCTCGATTCCACTGTAAGTCAAGACAAAAGTTTGCTATTTATGACATATTTAAATACGTTAATGATGAGTTCGTTTGAGCACATCCATTAATCCATCGAAAGTATGATCACTTTGTCTGTTTAAGTAACAGAATGTCTGAAGACGTATAATACAACAACCACTAATTGTTGTTGTGAATGATCACTAAGTAGTGGGCATTACCAAGTATGTTACACTCTTCTTATAGATGATCGAAGTGTTTCGATCATGTATCAATACAATCACTAGTCTAGGTGACTTGAAATCACATACACCATATTCGGTTGTAAAATGGTGGTTGGAGGTAGTCGACACAAAACCATGTACCTAGGTTCGGTGATGTTTCGCACTTGTCAGAAAAGTGTATTCGTAATCTTGAGGGAACTTATGCTGCTTTACAACGTGATCGATAGAATTTGGGTGGCGGAAATAAGGAGGAATTGGCATATATTTTGTAGGTCACTATTTGTTGACTAATCAATTTTAAATATTTCTCAGTCCTACAGGAGGTCAGTTTTATGGTAAAAATGGAGTTTTCAATCTTGATGTTTTGAATTCCTTATCCCTGTGGTTCCACACGAATCTATAATGCAATAATATGGAAGAGAAAAAACCAGTTTCCAGTTGAACAGGAAATTATCAAACTACATCACGAAGTAAGATCTAACATGGAATCCTGAAGGGAAATGTAAGAGATGAATACCAAAAAACAAACTACGTCCAGTTCTTTCTAGGTAACGTACACCCTTTTCATATCTGCTTCTATTTCCCGGCGTAATGTGTTTTTGGCCTTCCCCTTTTCCGCTTCTCTTCCAGATTCCAAGTTAGCGCTTGCTTCGTGATGCAGTTTGGTGATTTCCTCAACGTATGTTTGAACCACTTCCAATATCTTTTCCTGATTTCCTCTCTCAGATGGAAGGTGGTTTGTTATCTCTTATAATAGGGTAATGCCAATGGTATCGACGATGAAATGTTGAGTATCTTATATCTTGTTGATGGTGGTTATAGTAGTTCTCCAAGTTTAAGATCCATACAGTAGAACTGTCTTGACGCATGTATTGAAGATTGTGACTTTAATATTAGTTTTCAAACAGTTGTTTTGAATTCCTATATGTATATGAAAGATTTCATATCTTCTAAAATGTCTTCATAATACAAAATAAAATCAAATTGCTGAGGAGTCTCACAATAGGACAAAACGGCTATCCAATTCTTCAAGGTTCTCCATAGTGGTCTACCTTCAACTAAGATCTTCACAAAGAAACAACCCCCCCCCACCTTGTAAACATAAATTGAAAAAATCTTTGAATAGACTAAATTTCTTTTCTTTAATATACAAGTTTAATTCAATATGATTAAACTAAATAAGGTAATTAAAGTACTAGTCAATAGTCTATTATATATATATTTATTTGATGAACCTCGTATATCACCCACTTGTAATTCTTTGGTTAAATTGTTAATTTCTTCTTTCAGTCGTTCATGGGCATCAGTAAGGTTACCTGTAATATGATTTTTAAAAAAGGGGTAAAAGTAAACAAAGGTTACTCTATAGAAACAAGTTTACTTACGTTGAATTTGATCATATAATGAATCTCCCTGGAATCCAGCGGATACTTCGATTCCTTCATTTGTAAAGTATATTATAATGAACAGGTAAACACTAATCCATATTCTCCAAATCATTGAACACGTTCCCTCTCAAGATTTCAATCAATAATAGAAAGTAGTACTGCCTATATTCTATATAAAAAGAAATAAAAGAACACTTTGATTTGATTTATAAACTATAATATTAACATGTTCCTTTATATATATATACTACTTATTATAAACATGTTTTGAATTAGTCTTATTTACTTGTTAGAAATCATGTTTATCATTGAGAATATGATTGTGATGAATGACAACATGATGATATACTACTTGTTTGATTTGTTTTTGTTGTTGTTTTTGTTTTTGTTGAGAAGATACAATTCAATTGTCTATTACTTGATCATCTCTGTGATTATTGATGATGTGATATGTGTGAAAGTCAATCAGTCAGCGACAACGTAAGACCAGGCACATATATGCATCGGTCCATGTTGCCATACTTCGTTAGAACAACAAGATGAACACTGGATTCATAGAAGTATTTAATTTATTGGTGGTAAGGTATAAAAGGAAGGTTGTATATAAGGATATAGTATAGGAAGGAAAAAAGTTATGAAACAATTTTAATCTCAAGGTTTAAGGAAAGATAAAGAGTGTATACACCTACGCCATTGTGATTGATTCTGAGCCATGTCCCACGGAGTCTCCAACCATTGATTACTATAGTCACGCGAACACTAACCATGTAGTCTGCATCTACCAACATGGCTCAGACTAGAAGTTAGTGACTTCAAGCACTGATGCAATGTTTTGGTTTGGCCGCCCCTAACTCTCTTACAACCATCCCCTACACTAGTCAGCATTGCGCGTCATGGTAATCGGTGTTCAGGCATACGTAACACGTGGCCCAACCTTCTCAGTCGATGAAGATTCATGACCACATCAACTGATTTACCATCATCCCCTAATACCCTGTGTCTAACCTCACTATTACTCACCCGGTGATATCAGCAGATGCGAGAAATATTTCTAAGGCATCTGTGATCAAATACTAGAAGCTTACGTGTATTTTCTATTTTTAATGGCCCCGTTTCGCAGCCGTAATGTAGAACAGAACGAACTGTTGTGCTGTATACTCATCCCTTAATTGATAGACGGATATCTCGTCTTCGCCATAGGTGACGTAAGTTGGTGAAAACCAAACGAGCTTTTTGAATCAGTGCTGAGATTTCGTCAGACACCAACTCATAAGGGCTGATCAGACTTCCAACATAAGTGAAGTTGTCGACGCGTTCGACTACTTCACTCCCTATCCTTAGTTCAGGTATTGACGCAGACCAGTCCTGGAGTAACAATTTACATTTGGATGGGGAGAAACGCATCGCAAACATCCTGGCATTACTACTGAGTTCCAACAGAAGACTCTGCATTTTGTCGGCGTCTTCATCAAACAGGACTATGTCATCTGCGTATTTTTAGTCTGTAAGTGAACCTCCTGGTAGAAGATCAATTCCTGAAAATTCAGTCGACGAGAGTGTTATTTCCAGCAACAGGTCTATAATGAAGTCAAACAAAAATGGGGATAATGGACAGCCTTGACGTACACCACTTGAGGTTGTAAAATGATATGACAGTTCGCCATAAGCTCTCACTCGACTGGTAGTGTTCGAGTAAAGAGCCTTCACAAGATTTCTGTACTTCTGAGGTACATCTTTCAATGACAGACACTGCCACAGAACCTCTCGGTCTACAGAGTCAAATGCTGCTTTTAAGTCAAGAAAATCTATCATTGTCGGACACCGATAAGCATGTCTGTGCTCTAAAACTTGACGAATGGTGAATATGTGGTTGATACAGCCACGACCAGGTCTGAAGCCAGACTGATTTTCCGTGTTTGGAGTTCACGAGTCTTATTGAGGCTAGTATTTTAGATGCTATATTAGTCAGACTTATCCCTCTATGGTTATCACAGGATGATTTTGGCCCCTTCTTATATATTGGGACAATCAGAGATTGTGACCAGTCAGATGGGATTACGTCCGTTTCCCACATTTTAGCCAGAATAGTAGTCAAACTAATCGCTAAAATTGGACCACCATATTTAAAGACCTCTAGAGTCAATCCATCTGAACCAGCTGCTCTTCATCGTTTCAGATTACTTATAGCCTTTTGAACTTCAAGTAGGGTCGGGAACCTACTTCAATGTTTTCATATGTGTGAAAACTTTTACATAACTCGATAGCATAATTGATGAAAACGGTGAATAGGATGCAGGTATTAAAATGTGAATTGACAAAGCAACAACAGGTTTTTCAATAGAAATGTCAAGACAGTTCAAATGTATGTGGCGGAGACGTGGAGAACTAAGAAAGCCGTTATTCAGAAGATATAGGTGTTTATCAACAGTTGTTTACGCAAAATAATTAGGACCCGTTAGCCAGACACTATCAACAACAAGTTACTGTGGAAGACAACACATCAGATTCCAGCGAGGGAAGAAATTAGGAAGAAGCTCTGGAAGTGGATTGAGCAAACTTTGAGGAAATCAACCAATTCCGTCACAAGACAAGCCCTCACATGGAATCTTGAATACCAAAGGAGAAGAGAAAGACCAAAGAACACATCACGTCGCGAAATAGAGACAGACATGAGAAAAATGAATGGATAGAAGTAGAAAGGGAAGCCCAGAACAGAGTGGGTTGGAGAATGTTGGTGTGCGGCCTATACTCCATTGTGCGTAAAATGGTGTACCTAACTAACTTAGTAATGTATCATCAATTGAAAGTGAAATGTCTGATGGCATATGTTTAAGATGATAGGTAAAGTAGAGGACGTAAAGAGAGAGAGAGTGATTAGTGTTGAAACGAAGGAACAATCATATCTGAGACGATCGATCGACATTTTTTCAATGAAGCATTTACTGAATGGTTCTCAGATTCTAGTAAGACATTCTGTAATTTTGAAATTCAAATACATTTTGTTGTCTCCACTGGTGTTCTCGTTCACTACAATGGTATCATATATCTATTTCTGAATATTACGAATTGATTTAAATAGAAATGTGTATAAATTTATCCCAGCTAATTGAGATACAATTTAAACATGATCTACGAAATTTGAAGGGAAGCAAAATCCAACTCACACGTCTTCGTTGTGCCTTCTAAATTATGGCAACAATCCCATGTACTAACGTGATTGGTAATGTGGGTGGTGAAGATCGGCCCAATGAACCACTGTACCAATACTCGCAAACGATTACGAATGCTACATAGATTCATCGCATAACTATTGAGGGTTCAAAAGAGTGGTAAAAAATGAGTCTGTCTAAGATAAAGAAAAAAACTCGAGTGTGAGTATTATGTTATGGTTCTGCGTAAGCAGTGCAAAAACAGCCATCCCGTCCCGGTAGTTGTGCCGTGCGTCGTTGTTGCACTCTTCTCCAGAAAGACCTACTAAACTTCACCATTCTTATGGCTTGAAGGGAACAAAATTTGAAGGATGTGCTTTTGATCGTATGTATATACAACTGAAGTGTTCGAAATTCACTTTACATTAACTGTCTAGTGGCCTACTGTTTTCATTAGCACCACTAGTGATATCAATTAGAGATGAAAACCGATAACAAATCTTTAAGCACCTTACTTTTTCAAATTAACATTAAGGAATTAAGAAAATCTTATAGCCGCATCGTTGACATGGCAAATTTTGCGAAACATTTACGCTTAAAGAATTCAGAATGAAAGGATCTTTTACTGGTTACATATGTAAATTGATCCATTACTTCATTTGCCTATCTAGTCACTAAACTGGAATGAATCAGTCAATATGACATAATTTCATCAACGTAATGTATTAAAACTTACTAAGTACTCGGTAATAGTGATATATCTCAACGAAGAAATGAAGGGTAACTATTAGGATCCAATTATGAACTATGCATATTCATATTCGTCCTATTATAAGCTTTATTTTGAACTACACACGATAATTATACGATTTGCCATTCTTAAGTTATGCCCAGTCTATTAGTTACAGTCGAGCACATTCATAAACACTTTGGCTAGATCTTGCATGAATGTTATTTCCTATTTATGGCGTGATGTGGTCTGTTTGACGGGTATATAAACCATGTATGTTTGAAATAAATGATTCATATAGTGGAAGATGTTATTGATGTTCTAGGCTCAATAGGTATGCAGGACTAGACAGAAAGAAGGACCATTAAAGATTCTAGACTGCTCATACGGGTTTATGTGTCAGTGGTCTCTGATAACTTCATCTTAACGTTTTAAATTCAAGAATTTGATGATGCACATCTAAACTAGAGTGTTTTACTTAAATTGTTTGTTTAATCAATTTCAGTCCTAAATAACGACGGTAAGATACCAAGTGAATTTAAACTTCATCTGATTGCAGAAGCAAGTGGTTATTAGGACGGCATTTGAAGTGAACGATACTGGGTTTGAGTCCCAGAGTGAATATCAACTCTGGGATGCAGTTACATCTGGCTGACGAGTCTCAAATAGGATGAAACGCGTATACTGAATTCCACTGCTAGCCACTATCCATCTTTGCTTATAAAGCTTGTGACTTCAGGTAATATTGAGGCAATCCTTACAGAATGCACATATGCCAATAAGAAAAAAACTGATCAATCGCAGTCTTAAATAACAATGGAAAGATACAAGTAAACAACATCAAGTGAACATAGTACGTTTAAATTCAATCACTTACATTCAAAATGGATATGTGATTTCAACTTTATCAGTGTGAACTATTATTTAAGACACGTTGATTATTAAAACAACATTGATTATAAAGTTCACTTAGTATTGTTTGTTTGAATCTTCCCATTGACGTTTTGGTCTGCAACTGGTGAGACTACATCTCTGCGCACGATTGATTATAAAGGTTATCACTGAACATGCTATACTTACACAACATTGTTGAAACAGACATATAAACTGTAATCTATGATAATGTATTCAAATTCAGATGAATAATCACCTAGGTAACATATCTATTAATGATCATCAATGTAATTTCTTACATATTTTCAGAAAATGGTTCATAACCCCTCTATTATACAAAGGAAAACGAAAGATTCTCAAATACAACACCAAGAACACCAAACCAATCACATTTGATGGAGAAACCGCGGAAGAGGTGAAAACATTCACGTACATGGGAACCATCATTGATGAATGTGAAAGGATATGATGCAGATGTAAAGGCGAGGGTTGGTAAAGTAAGGAAAGCATTTCTACAATTGAAGAATATACGGAACTCAAAACAACTGTCAAATAACTTCAAAGTGAGAATCTTCAATACAAACGTCAAGACAGTCCTACTGTACGGAGATGAGACGTAGACAACTACTACAACCATCATCAGGGAGGTACAAGTATTTATAAACAGTTGATTACGCAAAATATTAAACAATCACTGACTGGGTACTATCAGCAACAATGTTTTATGGGAGTGGACAAACCAGCTTCTAGATGAAGAGGAAATTCGGAAAAGACGTTGGAAGTGGATAAAACATACATTAAGGAAATCACCAAACTGCATCATGAGACAAGCGCTAACTAACTAACTTCCTGATAGGAAGTGGAAAAGAGGAACGCCAAAGAACACATTACTTTAGGAAATAGAAGCAGATATGAAAAGGGTGTACATTACCTAGAAAGAACTGGAAAGGATTGACCAGGACAAAGTTGGATGGAGAATGCTGCTGGGCGGCCTATGCTCTTCCACGAGGAGTAACAGGGGTAATTAAGTAAGTAAGAAAGTAACCCCCCCACCAATCATACTTGACTAATACAATCTATACAGACTACTGAAAATGATAAAAAATTTTCATTATATATCTATCTTTATTTCAAAATGGTTAATAATGATAAGCATATATGATTAAGATTTCTTGACATGGTAATATACAGTAAGTATAATACATATACTTGATAACACTCCATTATGAATATATTTGGTTGCTATGCTTGAAGGTGGTATAGAATTTATTTTGGCAACCACAGTATTAAATGTATCTTTTAGCCTTTCGATTTCTCTTTTTAAATCTAATAGAAGAAAACGTGGATCTAAATCTTTAATTGAATAATGAAGTTATTATTATTCAAGAATATTAGTTACCAACATCAGTTTGAATGGATACATCGTGAGTATCATGGCTTGAGTCAACAGTTTCGGGTACTGGTTCCGAGGAAATGAATTCAACAATCATACATAATACAAATATCTTCCAAATCATGAACATTGAATTGATATTCCTTAGGTAAAGTATAAGCGATCAATCGGAATTTTACATTGAATATTCATTCTTTATTTATAGGCACCATCATGTACATGTTCATTTACACACACACACACCCTTGACTGAAACATGTCATTGGAATAACAATTGGATATCTATCTTGCCAACAAACAAACAAACAAACATGTTTCCATTCATTATCTTTTGCATATAAGATGTCAACTTTTAGTGCCTTTTTTATAGTGAAAACATGATTGAAAATCAAGTTGTAATGAGTAATTTTGGAATGAGAAATATTGATTTCAGTTATTTTGTTATATTCAGTAAGGGGTTTGCTGACGTGGATGCGCAATTCTGAGGAGTTCTATGCTAGGATGAAACGTCAGTCCAGTACTTCCAGGTTTTCCATGGTTGTCTATTTTTATTTGACTCATGAATTCAACTATCTGGACTACTAGCCACTATCCATCTTTGCTTACTAGAGCACATGACAGACCCTAGCTGAAATGTTGATTGCTTAGATACCATTCGAAGATTCATCCTCCTCCCTACGTATGTATGCACTCAAATCCTATTATTAGCTTTTGCTTTGTATTACTGCACCCTGATACAATTTGACTATAAATTTGCCTATATAACTGCTTGCGCTTGTTCGCTGATACTTACCCATGTGTTTGTAGCTTTGTAGCCTGTGTGATTCAATAATAAACTGTAGTTTCAGCTTCTCTTTGCCTTCTGATTTCAAACACCATTGAGATTTATAACGGTTGTCGAGATGAACGATTAGCTAAGCAGTCCCTACAAGAAGTAGACCAAATAACATATTCCTTCGGGAATCGGAAGCAAACATAAAGAAGCATGAATAAAAACTAGAAAGAACTGGAAAGGATCGATCAAGACAGAGTTAGATGAAGAATGTTGGTGGTCGGTCTATTCTCCTCCATGAGGCGTAACAGGCGTAAGTAAGTAAGTAAGTAAGTAAGTAAGTAAGTAAGTAAGTAAGTAAGTAAGTAAGTAAGTAAGTAAGTAAGTAAGTAAGTAAGTAAGTAAGTAAGTAAGTAAGTAAGTAAGTAAGTAAGTAAGTAAGTAAGTAAGTAAGTAAGTAAGTAAGTAAGTAAGTAAGTAAGTAAGTAAGTAAGTAAGCAAGTTCTGAACTCAGTCTTCCCACTACATATATCTATAGCCTAATACTAACATGTCTATTTACCATTTTGTACTACATCACTCAATATCCATCATTGTTACTCAATTTTGTTATTCAATTCAAAGAATAAACATGTTTAAACAACGAGTACTTGTTTGTTTGAAGCTGTTTTCTTTTTTTTTTCTTTTTTTATGTATCAAAAACATGATAATACGTGTGTGTCATAGATATAGTTGATGTCTGATTTATCATTTCATATCTAAAAAGCATAATTCAATCCTTTTTTTTCCATGGTAACATTTCTGGAGGTTATTATAAAGTCAATATAGTGGTTTTCAGGGGTTGATATAAATTATAACTAGTGAGAAAGGATGGATAATGGCTAGCAGTGGAATCTAGTTTGACGCACGTTTCGTTCTATTCGGGACTCGTCCGCTAGATGTACCTGAATCTCAAAGTTGATGTTCATTCTCTCTGGGACTCGAACCTAGTACCTTTCACTTCAAACGCCAAAGCGTTATCGACTTGGCCACTGAGACCTGACAGCCACTTGCTTGTGCAATGAGTTGAAGTTTAAATTAAATTAGTTTTGTTTGTTTGAATGTTCACATTGATGTTTTAGGACTGGAACTGGTCAGTCTCTAATTGGCATATGTGCATACTGTGCATATTGCCTCGATTTAGCCTAAATTCACAAGCATAGTAAGCAAAGATGGATATTGGGTAGCAGTGGAATCTAGGATGCGCGTTTCGTCCTATTTGGGACTCGTCAGCTGGATGTACCTTGATCTCAGAGTTGATGTTCACTCTGGGACTGACCAGTTGCAGTCCGAAACATCAATGGAACATTCTAACAAACAATACCAATTGAATTTATAACTAGTGAGGTTTGTTACTCATGTCATTACATGTTTGTTCAATAACATTACTGATTTACGGAAGTCTAAAATGTAAAAGAAACTGGGTATTAGTTAAGTAAGATTAAAGTTAAGAAGCTGGTTCAATATAACATATTAAGTAACTGAATAAGGTGAACACTAATAAGAATACTGAAAAAATAAGTCGAAAATGATGAATAGCAACTGAAAAGAACTAGGAAGGATTGTCCAGGAAATAGTCCGATGGTGACTGCTAGAGTGCGGTCTATGCTCCTCCGCGAGGGGTAACAGGCGTAAGTATCTAAGTAACTAATTATTCTTTTGTACTTGATGATCCTTTAGTAACCATCTGTCTGACTCCATTTGGATCGTTTCTACTGATTGCTATCAAATAATTAATATCGAAATATATTTTCTAACTATTCTTGCTATATAATCTACGACTTAAATTGAGATCGGTGAATAATGGAATACATGAGAATCAATTTCAAAGACGTATATTTCTTCCAATCGTTAATTCTGACAAACGATCGATAAAACGAAATGAAGAAAGTGAAGTGAAGTGACACTCAATGGAGAAGGCGAGATTCGGCAAAACAATAGCAGCATATTTACAACTGAAGAACATCTGGAACTCAAAATTAATGTCTGTTAACCAACACTAAGATCAGAATTTTCAATATAAATGTCAAGACAGTTTCACTGTATGGAGCGGAGACGTAAAGAACTACGAAAGCTATCATCCAGAAGATACAAGAGTTTATTAACAGTTGTCTACGCAAAATACTTCGGATCCGTTAGCCAGACACTATGAGCAACAACCTACTGTAGGAGAGAATAAAGTAGATTCCGGCGGAGGAAGAAATTAGGAAGAAGCGCTGGAAGTGGATTGGGCACACATTGAGGAAATCAACCAATTGCGTCACAAGACAAGCCCTCACATGGAATCCTGAAGGTCAAAGGAGAAGAGGAAGACCAAAGAACACATTACGCCGAGAAATAGAGACAGACATGAGAAGAATGAACAAAAGCTGGATAGAACTAGAAAAGCAGGCCCAGGACAGATTGGGTTGGAGACTACTGGTCGGCGGCCTATGCTCCATTGGAAGTAACAGGCAGAACAAGAAGTAGAAAGAGAAGGCGAATGAGCCAACCCGATTTAACCAAGCGTAAATCGATATTTATAATCACATAAGGATAAGTTATATTTGGCGAATAAGATAGGAAATGCCTACACTTATAATTACATATAACAACAGTCAAAGTTTTCAAGCAAATAATTAACAAGGTTAAAATATAGCTTGAAATGAATGGATAAGCTGATTTATTTAGATGCTAGAATAATCTATTTAGGCTCGATATAGAACTATTTGATATTGACAGATATAAGTAGTATATAACACTAATTGAAAATGAAATATCTAACAGAAGAAGGTTAAGAAGATTGAAAGAAAGAAAACAAGAATAGAGAATGATTGGTGTGGAATCGAAAGAACACTGAAGTCTTAGATAATTGATAAATCTATTTGGAAATGAGGTATTCATATTTTTTAAGATGTAATTTGGTAATGGAAAAATACATTCGACTGCCCCCACTTGTGTTCTCGTTCACTGCATTACCATTTCAATATAAACAAGTATTTGATTACACTCTTTGTTATTCTATGAACCATGGATTTTCGTCTATTACATAGGTTACTGTTATATTCTCTTCGATTCCGAAATTACTATGGTTTAAGATGTTTTGGTGTGGTCTACTTATATCCATATAAGTAGTATAAGGTGATGGTCAGACATAGAATGTATTTTGGTAGAAGATCGATAAGGAAAGAACAGGAATGAAGCTCAATCGGTATGAAAATGCATGAATAATGAAATCAGTGAAGATTGAATGACATTTACAGAAGGAATAGTGAAGTTTGAGACCGTTTACTGTATGGTTATCAGATTTCGGTGAGATTTGAGCCTAAATACATTCGATTGTCTCCAATCATGTTCTTATTTACTACAATGTGACTCCTTTCTCTTTCTATCCTGATATCTTAGTTTCAATATATATCAGATAGATAATTTCAACTTTGTGCATGATACCGGTTACGTAATAGGCCAGTTATGAAATAATGCCTCGTGTTTACTTTTAAGGCTAATTTAGTCACATATCAAACTTACATGTCATATATATACTAAGTAACTTATCATGTCAAGAAATGGAAGCAGCGTTTCCTTTGTTTCTCTCTCTCTGAATATTAAACATAGACTAATAGGTAGATAAATCAAGATCGTAACATTGATTTGGTAGAGAAAATGATACACTTTATGAGTATTGGTACCATGTTATCTAGATTCAGTTTCAGCAAAATTGATAATGAGCCATTTCGTGAATGAATATTATACATCACGTCACTTTGCTTAACTTTATGATTAGGTAATAGATGATCATTAGGAATAAAAGATCTCAGAAAGGATTCAACAAGCATAACATTTATTACTACTCAGTAATCATTCAGTTTAACATTGTTTTCAATGATGATCATTATCCCTTGGAGATAAATGGTTTGATCCAAACTAGATGTGGAAGTACTGGATAATTGTTTCTTCATAGTATGGGACTCAACAGCATTGTACATCCACAATTCTACACCGAATGGACACTAACTCAAGACCTTTGGCCTCGAACGCGAACGCTTAACCTATAGACCAAAGAACTGGTATTCAACGGTGTCAATGTCTAACTTCAATGGATTCATGATCTTGTACAACCGTTCATCCATTGTCTAAGGTAGATAACTGTCTCACACCCGACACGGATTAGACTCCACTGTTCATGACTTCTTAGTAGAACTGTACTAAACTTAACTTGAAGCTAGTCATACGAGAACACATGACAATCATCAGAATAGGGATTTGAGGAGATTGAAGTAATTTAATCTTTGATTCCATGAGTTGATCCTAATAAGCTAGTTAACTCATACGAATAAAGATTACTCATTAGATCGGTAACTGATCCCAATTATGATCTATGACTCGTTGTAAATTATCTTTAAATCAACACTTATGTCTAAAATTCATTTTCCTATATTCTGTTCATTATATTCAAATGACAACAATCTTCAAATTAACTAATTAAGTGTTATACATATTAATGAATAAGGGATAACTTCCATGATCTAATATCATATTTTCATACTTGCAAGCGTGAGTCAATTGAAGCTAGACCACGAAAGAAAACTTGGAAGCACTGGACGGCCGTTTCGTCTTATTATGGAACTCCTCAACAGTGTGCATCCACAATCTCGCCTCATGAGTTTCGAACCCAGAACCTACCAGTTTTGCGTTAGAGCAATTAACCGATAGATCACTTAGCCGGCATCCGATGTTGTTTATATCTAACTTCAACCAATCTAAAACCATATGTTAACAATATTAAGTACTTAAAAAACACAAAACAATCAGGAAATAACTGTTGGACTACTCATTATTTTATTTAAGTAGTATAATAATACAAAGTTATAAATTCATTGAAATTACAATCACTTCATTCATTTTAATAACAGGAAATTAATATGATACATTATAATAACGACCTTTTTGATAAATTTTATTAAAACAGATAAACTACTTATATGGATAATAAGTAGTTTTGTTTTTATGATTGTTGTCATTAAGATTTATACATAAATATGAATAGATTCAATGTAATTATAATACAACTACTAATTAATAATTCATTCTTCATATATTTATTTGCTGAATTTGGAGTTTCTCTTATTCTTCTACCTAATTCATTTAATAAACGTTGTATTTCATGCAGTTCTTCGCCTAATTCTTCGTTAATTTCTATAGATGTTTCATTCGATATTTCAAATTTGAAAGGTCCATTTGGATCCAAGTTTGCATTGAATACTTCATGATTAACTGAATCTGGAGAACTATTACGATGATCGGTATTGCTGCTGACGTCTTCAGAGTTGATTAAATTTAATGTGAATAAATGTAAACTAATATAAATAATGAATAATTTCCAAATGATCCAATTTATTGTTTGAATCATTATGACTTCAGTAGAATATCAGTAGTTGATATGAATTAAACAAAAGGAAACACAAATATCCGTTTATGTTTATATACCCTAATGGTTACATGTTTTTGTTTTCATTCATGGAGACGAAAACATGTTTTTTCTTTCTTTTTTTGGCTTAGTAACGTCATGATTATTACTTGTGAAAATGTGATGGGTTTTTTTCTTTTTACTTTCTTGTCATAAGTTTAAAAAAACACATAAATATTGGTACAATGAGACACCAGATACAGATATGCGCCAAATAAATCTGATTTGATTTGTGTGAAGGCTGTGATAATGCCCGGTTGCCCAAACTGAAGCACGTGGTTTTCTTAGGGGTCACACTCGGAGCCTTTGACCTAAATGTCTGATCCACAAGGCAGTGGAGCATCGTGAGGAGATACCGTCTCATGGCAGCCGGTAACCAACGATTGATTCTTACGCCATTGGAATCAGGGTTTTCCAACTCACCTAGGTGGAATTTCCGTGTCCACCTAATCGATTGAAGCGCCGGACATTCGCTTTTCGTCCTTTCAATTTCGCAAACAACAGTAATGCCACTAGGAGGGAGTGATTAGAACTTTCATGTCAGAGACTACATACGCGCGGCCATGTGAGAGCGTTTGGAGAGGGAGAGCATACTCTACCCACTCTCGACCGTACCAGGGCATTCGCAGTCATTGAGAAGTTAACACGTATGTGACATGAATACATTAAATAAATGATAGATTTATTATCAGTGTTGGAGTTAGATATAAACAACATCGGATGCCGGCTCAGTGGTCTGTGCGTTAAGTGCTCTGGTGCCAGACTGGTAGGTCGTGGGTTTGAGTCTGGCGAGGCGAGGTCGTAGATGCGCATTGCTGAAGAGTCCCACAATCGGAAGGAACGGCGCCCAGTGCTTCCAGGTTTTCCGTTGTGGTCTACCTTCAATTGACTCACGCTTTCAACTATGAAAATCCTAAATCTCCACAAAAAGCCCTTGTGAATTGATGAGAAGTTTTATAGTAGAATGAAACAGTTGTCTAATGCTTAGAGGTTTTTTATGGTGATCTGGTTTTAGTCGATTGTTGTATTCAACTGTTGAAATTAATGCAATGTTCACATAACCCTCTTAAAGGTAATAATCATTATGTAGTCAATAGTGACTGGCTTCAAGAGATATTTCCTGGAGTTCTAGTGAAAAGTCGTGACCAGTGAAGTTCGACTATGTCTGTTGTGAGGTAGTTACTGACTAAAACAATGATGAACGGTGGTGAAATTTCGTGTATTGGTTGAAATTAGACATTAACACTATTGAATGCCGGCTCAGGGATACAGAAGTTAAGTGTTCGCGCGTGAGATCGAAGTTCCTGGGTTCGAGTACCATGTGCTAGATCATGAATGCGCACTTCTGAGGAGTTACATACTGGGACGAAAGCGTTATTCAGTGCTTCCAGGTTTACCAAGGTAGTCTAGCTTTAATTAACTCATGGATTCAGCTATTAAACTATTACTTATTACAAAACCTGAATTTCGTTGATGTCTATTATTTAGATTTGCCTTAAAATAGCGTTTTCTAATTTTCGAATGGTAATTTCACTGAAGTCAATCTCTCAAAACAAACATCATTTTAAATCAATCCTGATGAGGTGATATAATATTTAATTTTGTAAGCAGATTCTTTCTTATACTTTCTTATACAAATGGTTATGCCTGGTAATTGCAATTAGTAAAAGGGAAGTCAAATGGAATGGTTAGTACATACTATAAACAGTAGGATAGATCCCATTATGAGGCAGCTTCCACGATAAACAGGGAGAATCAGAAGCAGATCTGAAGGTGAGGATTGACAAAGTAAGGAGCGCATTGCTACAGTTCAAGAATATATTCAACTCAAAACATCTGTCTACTAACCAATATCAAATTCACAATATTCAATACATGCGTCAAGGCAGTTCTGCTGTATGGAAGTGAATGTTGGAGAATTACTCCAACCATCATCAAAGACTTAAAATTATTTATAAATGATTGACCGAATACCAACAACAACAACCTAATGTGGCAGGAAATTACTAAAAGACACTGGAAGTGGATGAGACACACATTGAGAAAATCATTAAATTTCATCACAAGGTAAGCATTAACTTGGAATCTGGAAGGCAAAAGAAAAAGAAGATCAAAGAACACATTGAGTCGGAAGTTGTCACTTAGCATGAAGCACTATTTAGTAAGTGATATTAACTATCATTTATATGAATTAGTTCTATTGATGAACAGAATTTTCCTTAATGATTGGAACAAATGTTACTGATAGACATGTTATTCAAGACGAAACTACTTAATGTTAGTTGTGTGTTAACCACTTATTGATCTAATCAACAATTACTTACATGCGGCCGCTACTCTTCACCAAGGAGCATGGGCTACCGACCAGCATTCTCCAAAACACTCTGTCCTTGGCCCTCCTTTCTACTTTTATATAGTTGTTGTTCATTCTTCTCATATCTGTCTACGTTTCTCCTTTGGCTTGGATGATTCCATGTGGGGGCTTGCCTTATGACGCAGTTGGGTACTTTCTTCAATGTGTGTCCTATCTACTTCCAATAAATCTTCATGATTTGTTCCTCCTCTAAGATCTGGTTTATTTTCTTTCACAGTAGGTTGTTACTGATAGTATCTGGCTAACGGATCCAAAGTACATTGCATTCATACGTGTATAATTATCCGTTAATTTGTTAACACTTAGCTTGTTCTCTTAAATTAGATATATTATACTTGAGGTAAGATTAAATAACTAATCATTATTAGTGTTTCAATAAGCATAACTCCAGCATTAATGCTAAATGCATACATTTCACAAACCTAATGTGTTTAAATTCACTTAGTATTGTTTGTTTGAATCCTCCCATTGATGTTTAGGACTGCAACTAGTCAGTATCTAATTGACATATGTGCGTATTGCCTCGATATAGCCGTAACTCCAGCTGACGAGTCTCAAATAGGATGAAACGCACATCCTGGATTCCAGTGCTAGCCACTATCCATCTTTGCTTCCAATGTGTATAGTTAAATTTATTATTGTATCATGTTTATAAAATGTGACAAAAAAAAAAGAAACAATACAATAAGAAGTGTTGTTGTAAGAGGTGTTGTAATTACTGATTACGTAAGCTGAATGAATTTTATAAACAGTATAGAGGTCAACCATTAAATCTATTGAACTGAACCATAATCATCATTTGATTAATCATATACGTGTATTGAACGTTCTTTAATAGATTATTGTTTGTATGAGGTTGCGGAGATTGTTAAGTTTTTGATTGAGATCATAAGTCGATCAATGTTAGATCACTATTGAAAACCTGGAGAGAACTAAACGACTGTTTCGACTCCTCAGTAGTGCGCATTCATGATCCCGCACACGAGATACGAACCCATGATCTTCGGTCTCGTTAAATAATTAATTATGATAATCATGTATAAAAATAGTATAACAGGTTAAATTCACTTAATATTGTTTGTTTGATTCTTTCCATTGATGTTTAGGACTACAATTGATCAGTCTCTTCTTAGCCATATGTGCATACTGTGCATATTGCTACTATCCATCTTTGCTCATAAATCTTGTGAAATAAAGCTCGAACGAGACAATACACACACTATGCACACATGGTCAATGAGAGACTGATCAATTGTAGTCTTAAACATCCATGGGAGGAATCAAACAAACAATCTTAAATGAATTTAAACATCATTTCATTGCATAAGCGAATGGTTATCAGGACTAAGTAGCTAAGTAGATAACTTGATGGCGTTTGAAACGAAAGGTATTGGGTACAAGTCTCAGAATGAACATCAACTTTGAGATGAAGGCACATCGAACTGACAAGTCCCAGATGTGACGAAACGCGCGTCCTTGATTCCACTACTAGTAACTATCCATGTTTGATTATTACAGCTTGTTAAGCTTAATTAAAATGTTTAATATTGTTAGAAATGATAACAAGATTTGATACTAACTCTTTATGCATGTATTTAATTTACAATCTGTTAAGTTGGCTTATAGTAAACTCTATCAGAGCCTCCAGAGGCTCATAAAAAGCCTCAACAAATCAGCGATTAGTTAGAAGCTATGCTACTAAATTAACGAGGTCCTGATTGGCTGTTTAACATACTGCTACTATGGAATCTCAAAGTCTTTTAATTACTATAAAACCCCTGTTTTTCTGCACATAAATGAATCCTGTAGTAAAGCGCTTCCCTCATACTTTGTGCCTTCTCTCTGATCATCAAGTTGCTGTAAAGTTCTAGCTCGGGGATCCGGAACTAGCTTAGGGAAGTAAATATAGCGTTCACAACCGGCAGACGTAACACAATCTGATCCTTTTAACCTCTATTTTAAACTTTTTCAAGGTATTCTCTGAAAGCTGTGACAGTTAAAATGACGCAATAGCTTTCTTAATGTCAACCATTTTTCCTTTTTTTTAGTTGGCTGACACTTTGTTCAGTGTTTTGGGAACTTTCTGTAAAACCATGACAATAGTTTGGTTTAAAGTTAGTACTTATAGTATCATTTGAATGGCTGTCTATACTATCTGTTTGAATAGATTCAACAATTTCAATGTTGTAGTTTTATTTACCACTTGACAGCATTTTTAAATACTATGACATCATCTGATTCAATATTGTTCATGGTTTCATAACTCCTTCTCTTTTCTTCAGCAGTTACTTATTTAAGTCTATTGCCCCTCTTCGAGGAGCATAGGTTGATCATCAGTATTCATAATTCAACTCTGTCTTGGACAATCCTTTCCATTCGTTTCAAGTTCCTACACATCATTTTCATGTCTGTTTCCAATTTCCTACGTAGTGTATTCTTCGATCTTCATCTTTTTGTCTTTCTTTTAACATTCCATGTTAAGGCGTTCCCCATGATGCAGTTTCATGATTTCCGAAATGTATATCCTTTCTATCTACATTAATATCTTCTCCATTTTGCAGTCATCTAACGTCAATTAATTGAAGAAACTCAAGATTTTCAGTACTGGCTTCCTTTTCATTGATACTATGGTTATTCTCAAGTATACTTTCATTTATTCCAATAGTACCACTGTCAACATTTATGAATTTGAATACAAACCAATTTATATATGTATAGTACGCCTAGCCACATGTAGGCGTGATGGTATCCTGCCTTGGGCGGGTCCCGATTCAAAGACTCAGGTAAGTTTCTTTGCTATTTTACGAATCAAATTTCAGTCTCAATATGGTATTTTAT